GCAAATCTATATAAAGAATAATATCTCTTAATTTTGTTTTGTGTTATTACGTTGTTATAGAGCAATTGCGCAGAGCGTTGGGTCAAGTTGGGTGGGGTGGCCGGATGACTGATCTGGCCGGATGACTGATCCTTAACGTTATATGTAAAAGAAGAATGCACGTCATCCGACCATGGGAAAGATCCGCTGCGCCATGGACTCGTACCATTCAGGTATAGCTCTTGCCTATGTAGATTTCTCATGGTACATGTGGCTACATTAGGTAACAGCTATACCTAATCAAGACATGGCTACACACTGCTTACAGATTAGCGTTACTATCTTCTCCTCTCAGTTCTATGAAAACGACATATTTTTTCTCAAGAATATATAGAGAAGAAGAGCGTTCAAGAGGACTTGATTTGTGTTCTAGATAGAGACTTGGAAATACGCTTGGGCGTCAGAAGACTGAGCCTAATTAGGTATAGTCATGGTGCATCGCTGGAAGCTCATGATACTGCCTTTCCAAGTAATCTACGGATTTGCCAGAAATTACCTCTTCTGGTAACTGGCCATTCCTGGCATGTCGCGATCCCCAACGCTGACCTCACACCCGAGCCGACTTTCCTCTATATCGACCACCATCCCCGCTCCCGCGCACAGGAGTAGCCCCGAGCTTCCAGAGTGCTTCGGAAAGTCCTCACACGCCGAATTTTAGAGGCATTGGCTTTTTGCCTACTCCAGTAAAGACCCCCTAAGCGTTGCGCCCACGAATTCCTGCAGCTTAGCCATGGGCTTCACCACCGGCTTCGTACGTGCTGTGTCCCTACAACATCTTCTCAGCTAATCAATGCAGCTCGGAGGCGTCACCCTCACATCCGCAGTCCTCTATCTCACAATATCGCTGCACGCACAAAACCGCGCAACGCAAGCCGCACTGTTACGACAGCAGCGCCGGGTACTTGCCGAGTTCTACGAGCCCAAGAAGCCAGAGCCAGATCCGACAAGCCGGGAGGCCCCAGTAGGTTTGGCTGAGATGGCAAAAGACCGCTGGAACAGGAGCCTCGAGGAGGGTGTCAAGAAGGTGTACAGCACCGACTGGAGGAGAGTACGCGAGGATGTCGAGGACAGGGCGAGCGTCATTCTGCAGAAAATCAGAGACAGCACCAAATGAGCAAATAAACTGCTAGAATAGACCTGACGCATGCTGGGTGCAGGCGTAGGGCGCATGCGCTGCTGCTGCTGCTGCGATACCCTAATTGCACGTGTACAAATATGAAGAGCCTCTCATAATGGAGAGCAGGTATAGATTTGTTTCATGAAAAATATCCTCACAACGTCCAACGATTCGTGCAGGCAGACCTGATGGATGATATTTCCTGTTGCTTCATTCTCACTTCTGAGTTCCACACTCACCTTCCCCGCTCCATTCACTGCTATTGTTCCTCTGCGTTTGCGCAGCAACACAAGACCGCGCTCTAACTACCCGTCACCTTTCGCTCAGCAACTCTGACCCAGCACCTCTCGCTCAGAACCTCTCACCCGTCAACCCCGATTTCCTTACATCCAAGAATCTCCGTCTCGCAACGGGTGCCTCGCCTACTCTTGCTACAGTATGACCTCTCATGGCAAGGTCCTCGACCTCTTCGACGATCGATACCTTGGGCTACAGGACGTCGTTGGTAATGTCGAACCACTTCCCATGCTCGTACCATACGAAAGATACACGCAAAACCCTGTCGTGTACAGTATGGATACAAACCATGCCATCTTCCTCGCACTTCTACAAGACTTTACAGAACGCAAGGCAAGGGAGACGGGCAAAGAACTATGGACTTGGTACGTGCAGTGGGAGGTGAATCAAACTGCAGCTCGCCAGCTTTCTGTCAACCTGCACTCCCGGAAGAAGCCTCGTTTCGACCAAGAACAGCCAAACTTGCATACTGCACAACGATCGCGTCAGAGCGCACCCCCAATCACAGTTCGGCCCCGCATCCTAGACCCAGAATTGATGCATGAGGAGGACATGTTGAGAATCCTGGTCGATATCGTACAAGTGAACAGCGCTGTAGTGCCTAACTTTATCGAGTTCTTGTACCGGTGGATCGATTACTACGAAGGAGATGGGAGGGCGCTAAAGGCGGCATTACATGGGGAGATTCCGAGCTTGTGGGATTTTGAGCATCACCCACTCATGGTCCCAGAAGATATCAAGAAGAAGATGAAGCAAGCAAATGAAGAGAGCAAAGATAAGAAGAACGAAACAGGTGATGAGACATCAACGCATAGCAACACAGAAGAACTTACCCAAAACTCACCTACCAAGAAGATGCGAAACAAACCAGATCTAGCAGCATTGGAGCGCAGGGCAGAAGAAAGCGAACGGCTACAATACCGCGAAGTGCATTTTGGTATACAACCACCAAAGCTGAACGAACCTCTGCCGCCTTTGATCAACATTCCTCAAGATTCGCAAAAACGCGCAAAGTATTACGCCGCTTGCTTCAAGTCACGACAACGCGCCTTTTACATGCTCATGGAAGCTGGAGTCACCGCGCAACAGATCAGAGACTACAACCGATGTCAGAAGGAAAATGTCAAGGATACTCCCTCGACTGGAGGAGAGGGTCTGAGGAACTACGAAAGAGATGCACAGATGGCGCAGAGAGTTTTTGAAGAGAAGAAACAGTACACAAAGAAGCAGAGGGAAATTGCTATCAGTGACAGACTGGCTGTGGAGGCTCGAATTGCTGCAAATGATACAATGACTGAAGAAGCATCGGGTGTCCCGCTGATTCCTGTGACGCCGTCATACCCTCCTCGTCAGGACATGGCCGTACAGATGGTGCGCAAGATCCAGCAAGCCACGAACAAAAATGACCACAAAATCAACATAGTCCCTGAGCCTCTGGTGGGCTTGATGAAAAGTGAGCTCTTCGAACGAGCAAAGGATAAAGAGACCGTAACCAGATACTTGGGGGACGTTCTCACGACTCCAGCACAACGTCGTACCATTCTCAGTGAGGATGGGGGATCTCATACAAGTGCTTTGGAGGATGAGAACATATCCAACAGCCACGACCGATTGCGCATACCTTCTGGGCCACTACCACCACCTCCTCCCAGTCTTCCACAACTGAGTTTACCGCCGTTACACCCTCCCAACCCTCCCGTGCAAACTAATCAAGCGTTTCTTCCCCCTACAGGACAGTCGAATGTACATCAGCAGACACATAGCCACCTTGGTTTCCCATCTGCATTGTCTATGCCTCATCATGCAGTCTCAGTGCCTTTACCCACCGCAAATACCACTCCGTACATCGGTGTTACTCCTTCGCAAACTTTTGATACCGGACCTCAACATCAGCTGCCTGGGGGCTTTGGAGGATACGATCCTTTCATGATGCAATCACCTCGTGAAGGCACATATCGCCATTCTTTCTCATCTTCCATATTCGATGAGATAATCCAGCCAGATGCCTTCAATAACTTCGATGCTATAAACAGCATTCTCCCATACTCACCTGAATATGAGCCCAGGCTACCTGCACCTCATCAGCCCCAACATCTCTCATTACCATATCAGCCTTACAACCAGCAGCCATATGTACCTGCGCAGTATCATATACCTTCTTATCCTGTCGCTCCGGCCTTACCAGCTCCAGTTCCATCACCCGCGAACGTACACCAATACCCTCTGCCCCGCTTCCTGCAACCCCTTCAACCAGGCATCCACCGCACAGCACCCAAACCCCTACCCTTCATCCCACCACCCTCCCCCATGTCAGCGCTTGCCCCCTCATTTCTTGCAACCTCCCCCTTTGCAACCAGCCACTCTGAAATCCCCGTCCAAATCTACTTCCAGAAAATTGTCTTCCCGGCCAACACGCTCGGCCCCGGCGGCGCCAAACTCGGCGACGGCGGCGTCCCCGAAACTGACGCTTTCCTACTCGGCCACATGCGTCCTGGAAGCGGCGAAATCGTGCTGAGCAAAGCAATTTTCCTACCAGTGGGTGTGTGGAAGAATGCTACTGCATGGGTGCGAAATGGGAAGTGTAAAGTTTTGGAGTCGTATCCCATACCGGGAGGCGATATGGGGAGTTATCCAACGGGTGTAGCACATCGTGCGGCGTATGAGAAGGTGAAGGAGGCGTTTGGGTTTATGATTGCGGCGCCGGCGGAGCTTAGGGAGAGGGAGGTTACGAAGAGGTGGAGAGTGAGCAGAGGGCCGATGACGGAGAGTGCGCGGGGTGCGGTGTGGGAGGGATGGGGAGTCGAGGTGGATAGGCAGATTAAGATGAGGAGAGAGGAGAGGATGGGTGCGGTGGTGCTTGATTCAGTTATTGATGGGACGAAGGCGCGTGATTGGGAGGAGGAGAGAAGACAGAGGGAGATGAAGACGTTGCTTGTCGACGAGGAGGATGAGGAGGATGAGGAGGAGGAGGATGAGGATGAGGAGGACGAGGTGGCGGAAGATGTGAATATGGAAGATTTTGTGACGTTTGAAGATGAAGAGTGATGGGTTAATTGCATTTCTGAGGGAATGTGGATGGGTGGTTAGATACATCGGCCACCGTCTACTTCGAGATTGACTCCTGTAATGAAACCTGCTTCTTTGCTCGCCATGAAGATGCATGCATTTACCACGTCGTCTACCTCACCGATACGTCCCATGGGTACGTTGGACGTGAACTTTATCCTATTTTCCAGCGTATCTTCCATACCAGTGAAAGCAGAGAAAAGGCCCGTAGCAGTGACCAAGGGGCATATCGATACCACGCGAATCTGATGTGGACCGTATTCTGCCGCGAGTCCTTTTGTTGCCTGCTGCATATCAACAAGAATTCATGAGAAGGAAGAAAGTATGCGAACGTACATTCCAAATAGCGCCTTTACTTGCATTGTACCAAACAAGACCTGGTCTTGGTCTTGTAGCACCCACACTCGCTATGTTGATGACTACGCCACCTTCGCCTCGCTCAATCGCTTGGTCAACCCAAGCATTACATCCTAGATACACGCCCTTGACGTTGACATCGAAAACCCGGTCGAATTCTTCTTCGGTAACAGTCGTCGTCGGTTTGTTTGTGTACGACCAGCCCGCATTGTTTACGAGGATGTCGCAACGCCCGAACTTCCCAATACAGGCTGCTACACCTGCTTTCCAGTCGGCTGACTTTGTCACATCCATTTGGTGGAAAGCTAGCGAAGAGGGATTTGTAGAACATGTTTCTTGGCCGCCGGCAGCGTTGATATCGCAGACGAGAACTTTGGCGCCCTCAGAGGCCATGCCTTTGGATATTCCTGCGCCGAAACCGGAACCGCCGCCTGAGAGGTGGTGTCAGGAAGAATGGTAGGTGATGAAGGATGCCCTCTTACCTGTGACAAGGGCAACCTTGCCGTCTAGTCTACCCATGGTGATGATTTGGAGTGTTTTTTGGAGGCGGCGTATGGGAAAGAACTCGTGAATCAATCAAAAGTGGGATCAACGAATATCAGATTGAAGCATCAGGTGTCAGATGCAGGGGACACCAGAGCAGTCGTGTTGCAAGAATGGAAAGGGCATCCTCTTCTGTTACTTATTTCAGACCCCGTATTCTGCCTTGGACACCGCATCTCCACTATCATGTTCCGATAACCAATACTCGGAACGACAGTGCTACAGGAGTGAGGGGTAAGGATGATGCCCCGCATAGAGTTGACGTATTGTTGGAGGGCCGCCGCGGTTCAGACCAATCGCACGCCGACCTCGCCGAACGTCTCAATTGCATCCATATCCTTGGCGTACTATTAGAGGTCCTTGAATAGCCGGGTTGTCTTTAGTCAGTAACTCGGCCAGGCTCCGATAACTTGTATGCTATCTAGGGTGGGGTAGTTGGACGGGTCAGCTCGAGGACCGGGACGGTCGCATTGGTGCACTCTTCCGCCGGACCGGCCATTCTCATACATTCACCAACATTTCACCTAATCTCTTCTTAGAATCAATCTTGAAAAATTCAGAGTCGTAATTCCCAGCTTTCGACAGACACCTTCCGGCGCGGAAAACCTTGAAGCTCTCAGTATACGCAGGCAACTCTTGTAGACAACGCGAGAATGGGCTCGGAAAGCAAATATCAGCTACCATTCAAGGTTCGGAAGATCCATCATCACAATATAGACTGCTTGAACTTACATTCAAAAGCTGAACAACCCAGATCTTCTTCACAACCTGTCATTTGTGAATGGTGACTGGGTACAATCAAAATCAGGCAAGACATTCGAAGTGGTTGGTAAGTCACTAGATCGATGTCCAAGGGCCATGCACTCACACTGAGAAAGACCCTGGAACTGGAAAACCATGGATAGAATGTCCGACAAACGACGCATCTGATGTTGAGGATGCTGTCAAGAGCTCATACGATGCTTTCCAGAAATATAAGAATATCAGCCCTCGACAAAAAGCACAAATGCTGTTCAAGTGGGACGCTCTGATCAAAGAAAATAGGGAAGATATAGCGACAATCCTTGTATACGAGACAGGAAAGCCGAGAGCTGAGGCCTATGGCGAGATTGATTACTCTACCGGATTCACATGGTGGTTCGCTGGAGAGGCTGAACGCATCCAAGGCACTGTGTTTACACCTGCGCTCCCGAATCGACGTGTCTTCACCATTAAACAACCCCTTGGTGTTGCCGTCGCGTTAGTACCATGGAACTTTCCCATTGCAATGGTCTTGAGGAAAGCAGGTGCCGCATTGGCTGCCGGATGCACCATGATTGTCAAACCTAGTCCAGAGACGCCTATCACGATACTCACATTAGCATACCTTGCGCAGAAGGCTGGCTTCCCCAACGGAGCACTAAATGTGTTGACTACAGATCTCGATAAGACCCCAGAGCTCAGTGAAGCATTATGTCGGCATCCGCTTGTGAACAAGGTTACTTTCACAGGGTCGACGCGTGTTGGAAAGCTTGTTGCTAGGATCTGTGCAGACAACTTGAAGAAAGTCACCTTGGAGCTGGGAGGCAACTGCCCTGTCTTGATTTTCGACGATGCAAACATTGAGCAAGCTGTGGGCCAAATCTTCGCCCTGAAATACCGTCATGCTGGACAGGCCTGCATTACCGCGAACCGTATCTACGTGCAGTCTGGTATTTTCGACACGTTCCTTCAGCGTTGGAATGCCGAGACTCAAAAGCTTGTAGTTGGCCATGGTGCTGACGAGAAGACAACAATGGGACCAGTAACGACACCAAGGGGTATCGAAAAGGCGGTTACTCTCGTGGAAGATGCGAAGAAGAAAGGTGCTAAGATACATACGGGTGGCAACAAGATTGAGAAGGACGGTGGCTACTTTTTCGAACCTACAGTCATTTCTGATGTCACACCTGACATGGATCTTGCTAAAGAAGAGGCTTTTGCGCCAATCTGCACGTTCATCAAGTTCAGCACGGAAGACGAGGCAGTAAAGGCTGCCAATGATACCAGCATGGGCCTTGCCTCATACTGCTTCACGAAGAACGTTGACCGTACATGGAGGCTGTTTGAGAACTTGGAGGCTGGTATGATTGGACTCAATACGGTATGGTGCATGTTGTTGAACGTCAAAGTCAAACGAGTAGATCACTAATAATAGAATAGGGAAATGGATCCGCTGCAGAGTCTCCATTTGGCGGCATCAAACAGAGCGGCTACGGCAAGGAGTCCGGAAAGGATGTCGCAGTGAACGAGTACCTCATCACCAAGACCGGTACTTTCACGTTGGAAGAGCAGTCTTAGCCACCGCGAGCACAGTATCGTGCGACGCTTCAAGGTGTCTGTCTGGAGCACCGTCTTCGTGTTTGACCCTAGTTAGCTCCCAGAAACAATGATCGTAACTATGGTTGTCTCTCCGTGGCTTGTAGTAGGCACGTCCCCAACCCGAGCTTCGTCCGCGTTTGACTGGGGCCGTGGTATATATATCCCCACCTGCGCCAAAGCCTGGCCACTCGGTACCGTTTTGGATCAAGCGGTACTGCAGGTCATTGTCGTGCACATACCGCACGCCACACCGCATACTTCACGTGATTGTGTTAGTGCCCGCCTCTGGAGCTTACCGCGGCGCGCCCGTCCCACCGCCGGCCGTCCAGCCTCCAACAACACCTCCGCCCTACGCAATTCCCACATAATCGCAGAGCTCCACTGCACGTTCCCGCCACTATGGACGACACAGACATGACAGATGTCGCCTACGACATTGAAATTGATGTTGGACCAAACGTTGAGCCCGTAGCGCAACAACAGCCACAACAAGTTGCTCAGGTGAGCTCAGCAGAACGTCGTAACGCATACGGCGCAAGCATCTGACAAGATTTCTCCGTGCCAGAACAACATAGCAGAGCCCGAAGGCAGCATACCTGCAGCTTATCTGGAAGATATTGTGATTCACGAGCCATGGCCCGAGTCGATAAACCTCCAAGGTGTAAGCGACTTCGACCCCAACGACCCATTGTACTGGGCCATGGAGCATTGCCAGTCAGAACCACGCGTCAAGCAACTGCGCTGGGTCAACGACAACTCGGTCAACCTTGAATACTACACAAAGGAAGATGCTGCGCTGGCCTTGAACTTGCTCACGCATCCCGATACCGGTGATACCAGCAACCTTTCTCTGCAAGCGCCTCGCAAGGCAAAGCCATACTCGAAGAAGCCAAACAGCGTTCTTTCCGTCAGACAGTCCAATGCTGGAGATCAGAAGCCAAGGGGTGCGGCAACGAGAAGCAACTATTATCAGCGCAACCCAGATGTTGCAGGAAATCGTCAGAGGGAGCCGCGACGAAGGCAACCCCCTAAGAAGGACTTTTTAGACTATGGAGACGAAGAGATGGGGTCCCGCGAGCGCAGCCGGAGGAGAGACAGTGGAGATGAGTCTATGGGAGACTCGGGCGTTGACCGAAGGGGCCCGCGGAGAAATGGACGAGACACCCGCAATGAGCGTGATAATCGCGGTCGAGGTAGAGGAGACCGCCAATCTGCTGGCAGGTTCCGAAGCGACAACCAAGGCAAAGACGTCGACTCTTACAGGCCAGGTTCGAGAAGGTACCTCTACAAGTATCTGGCGCATCAATTCCTATACTAACAGAAGCCAGTCCAAAAGAACCACGCTTTGGCCGTCTACGAGGGCGCAGCGCCTCCCCCGCCTCAGACGAAGAAGGCGACGGTCGATTTGGATTCGCAGAGGACGCAACGCACGCAGGCCGCAGCCGGTACCGTAGCCGCAGCCCTGGTCACAACAACCGACGTCGGCGTGAAGCTAGCGCTGACCGATGGACACATGACCGCGCAAACTATGATCGTGCTGGAGGAACTACAAGCGGGGGTCGATGGCAAAAGGACGCCTTCTTCGTGGACACTTCGCCCATGGGCAATCACCACCGGTCGAATGCAATTGACGTGAAGCGAGGAAGTGGCGCATCGCTGCTCTCACGCATGACAAAGGATGGCCAACCTGTAGCCCCACAGCACAAGCGCTCTCTCGCTGATAGAATCACGCGCGACGATGATGACGACTCGGAAGGGGGATATGGACGACTGAAGAACGATTACCGTGACCCTAACGTCACCGACTTCTCTGAGCCAGCCCGGCCTCGTCGCGGTCTCGCAGATCGCATATCTCGCGATACTGATATGAGTATCCGCGGACAGGGACGATCGCACAGCCAAGAAGGCATCAACATTCGTGGTTCCGCTGAGCGTTCCGCAGGTGGAATTAATATACGGGGTGTAGCCAGTGGTGCTTAGGGTAGTACCTACTATCACTGTCAGTCGTAGTCTGAGTCGTTATGAAGGATCCCATTTTTAGTATGAAGCGGCCGGGTAAGGGCAAGGCAGATTGCTTGCATCATATACTATCACATCCGTCCTGGACGTTTATCCTCTATCTGTTTCTCTTATCATTGTAATGGATGGGCGGCACACCAAAAGAAATACACTCTCGTATCTGTCTATCTATCGTCAGGGGGTCCAAGGCATGAAGAGTTCATCATCGGGCTGCACAGTTTAATTGAAATTGGTATACACACAGCTGTATACATGCTCAAGTCTATAAAATAGTAGTGTCTGGAAAAGAATGGAAATAATGTCGAGCCCACATAGGGAAAAACTCCCTAGATACCAAGAAACAATCGCTACCGTACAATCTGGATAGCAATGTTCTTTCTCACGCCAACTTTGCAGGAAGTTTTAACAAACGCTAGGACAATTCAGACGTTCTCGCTCTAAGAATGCAAGGTTTCGCAGTTTCTCGGCACCACAGGTTTGGCAATTTATCCGTGGTGCATAGCTTTGGTCAAAGCCAATCGCTTGCTGTACGGGCTCAGACTGCGCTCCCTGGGAGCCGGTGGAGGCGCTGCCTGCACCGGAGGCGCAGAAGGATACTCCTCGAGCCTATTCCTCGCCATTCCACTAGGACTCGCACGTCTCCTCCCGCCGTTCCTCGCCTCGCGCGGGCTTCGCGACCGGCGCAGGGCTCTACGCTTCGAAAACGGACTGGGGCTGCGGTCGCGACTATCGCGGAAGGGCGAGCGTGAGCGCGAAGACGGGCGCTTCGCTGGCGGAGGCGAGGCTTCCCATTTGGCTCCTGGTGCGGCCCCATTGGGCGCAGGATGGTGTCGTTCATCCGAAGTGTCCATGGGGTCTGCGCTCCTGGATCGTGACCGCGACACCGAGTACCGCCGGCCCGGCCGCTTTCTGTTTCTTCGAGTGCTGCGGCTGCGGCTGCGTGACCGGACGCTGCCGCCCATGCTGTGTGGTATCCTGCCTCGGGCGGTCTCGAGGGACGTTTGCATGCGTGCTGATCTGGATCTCGACTGGGATCTGGTTCGTCGGCGGCCACGCTCGTCGGGGCTGAAGGAGCTCATGCGTCGTCGGGTGTTTCTGTCGCCCTTGTCTGAGTCTCGTGAGGTGCGCGAGTCGGTTGAGATTGATCGCCTGCTTCGTTTGCGTAGGGCTTTGTCGTCGTGGTCTCGGCGTCTTGCGTCATGGTATTTTCTGCGCGGTGGTGAACGGGATCGTGACCGTGATCGGTTGGTTGATATGGTGGAGACGGAGTCGACAGACGATGTAGAGGGCGAGCGTGCATGTTTGCGCTCGTCTTCTTTTTTCTTTAGAATCTCGTCGGCAATGCCTTTCTTCCGGACTAGATCCTCTGGTACCTCGGTGGTGAGTTTAGGCTTCAGTTTGGGGTTGAGCAGTTGCTGTGTCCTGGATGGGCGCGACTTGTAAGGGCGCTCCTGGGCAGGGGCTTTACACTCGTAGCTGTAATGTCCACGTTGCAAGCATTTCTGGCAGAGAGTGTCGGCTGAAGCCTTGGAGCGGCCAGCACCTGGGCGGCGGAACATGGTCGAGTTTGTCGGGCTGCTGCTCTGGTGTTTCCGTTGTTGTTTGTGTATACTACCAAGGGGAGGTGACAGGGAAAGGCAGCACAGTACGCGACTCCTTGGGCGTCAGCACGGCGACGGGCAAAGAAGCAATTAAACGTCGCCAAGTTCAATCTTCTTTCTGTCACTTTCCGGCAAAGGCAACGCGACCAGCCTTGTTCGCGATAGGTAAGGCGCTGATGCGCTTTGGCCGGGACATTCGGCGGAGGGCATGACTAAGCGCACCCACCCACTTGCGGCTTCATCATCGCTTCTGTGCCCTTCACACGCCTCGCCCTGCACCCCGCATACCAGCCTGGTCGCCGCACCCCCTACCCGACGCTCTACCCAGCTGCCCACTCGATCCGCCGCGCGCATTTCTTGTTGCGTCGTGTCTTCGGGTGTGTAGTCGCTTGCCCGACGCTCCAAGCTACCCTTGGGATCGCAAGCCTGGCGTCAAGGCTACTTCACCGCAGTCGTCGACGACCACTCCACTCCCACGTCTTTCCCCCGAATGTCGGCACACCAACATGTCCAGCTTTCTGGCTCCAGTTATCGCGACTTTCCTTGAGCACCTCGTTTCCTGAAAAAAATTCCGTCCATTGCTCCGGTCAACACTACCTTCATTTCACTCCCACGACGACCCGTTAACGGCGTTGAGCTTGGTGATTTTTTTTCTGGCGTGAGGCCCAGGCGTCTGCAATTCCATTGAAACGATCCGGCTGTCACCAAACCCCGCAAATTCAGATTCGCCCTGCTCGCTGTATTCGAGCATAGACAGCGCACCGCACCTAGGCCATCTGAGATTGCAATTTCCTGCTCCCTTGAGCTGTTACACCAACCGCCGCCAAAAAAATCATGGCGTCTGCGACTCCAGCTCCTACCGAGCAGGCTCCTCCTAGGCCGCTCTCCTTCGCCAAGGTACGTCGCCGGCCAGTGAATAAGTACAGCGTCTGTTTGTTAACACCGTCAGGTTGCGGCTTCCGCAATAAAGCCACAGATGTCGAAAGATTCTGCCCCCAAAGCGAGACCACCTGTTGCGACGCCTCGAGTACCTGCCATTGCTCAGAAGACGCGCGCTATTCCTGCAAACGGGGATGCCGCAAAGGCGGCCATGGAGAAGCAAGAAAATAATGCAAACAAAAGTGCTGAAAACGTCACTTCGCAGCGTGCGCCACCAATTGAAAGAGCAGAATCTTCGCCGGCACCACCTCCAGATGCCAAAGCAGAAGCTGCCGAAAGACCTCAGTCTGCCGTGATTGCCAAGGTATCTGCTACAGAAGACAGTAACACCCAACTCTCTTCTTCAGACGGATCAGGAAAACCCCCAAGTATCGATGGAAAGAGCGTGGCTTCTGCGACAACGTTTGCATTGGATGAAAAAGAGTCGTTGCGACCGGATGACAGTGCTAGTCTACGGGCGGTCGAGGAGGAAGATATCATATCGCCTCCAGATTCAGTCATTGCAGACTCCCGACAGGGATCCGATCATGGTGCTGCGCGCGCCTTCAGGGATCAGCTTCAAGAAATAGCTGTGATGAACCCCCAACCTCATCGAGGAGTTCCTCCAGGAAGATTTCCAACTATGCCCATTGGACCCCAGACTTTGTACGATCCAAATCAATCGTTGAACGGCGCGGGGCCCGTGCCTCAGCCTCTGGTGAATGGCATATCTGCACACAATGGTGCGCCCAACATGCCTGCCATACCGGACGAGAAGTTACTCGAGGCCCTACGCTCTCCACGCGATCGTTTGTTTGTCGTTAAGATTGAACAGGACTTTATCGATTTCATCAAGGACTCTCGGTAAGTTCATATTCTCAACGTGTTACCTTGTATTGTTAACTAACAACGGACGTCCAGTGAAAACGAGTTGTGTCTGCCTAATTGTAACACCTTTTACAGGATGCTGGCCCATCGTCTTGCGGATTATTATCTTCTTGGCCATGTAGTTGATACCACCATGACAGGTGTGAAAATTACACGCACGCCATATTGTAGAATGTACGTGTTGCTTGCATGTTTGGGTGGACATTACGCTAACTGGTCACAGCCCGCCGCCTGTGTCGCAAATGGTTGATCCTGCAAAGGGAACCAACACCCCTCCTGTGGAGCTTCCTGCTCGCAAGATCATGCGACGCGATGACGGTAAATCTGGAACAAACACTGGAGCTAACTCGCAGAACGCGTCCAAAACGACGTCTGAGATGGGTGGTAGTGAGGGCAGCAACGATGGCGAAGCCAACAAGGACAAGACTGCGCTTTCTCGAGAAGAGCGTGAGGCGCGGTATCGCGAAGCTCGCCAACGCATCTTTGGAAGTGCTGAAAGCGAAGAAACTGATGCTACCGAAGCCAACGGATCAGGAGAAGACAAGGAAAAGGGAAAGGATATGTCGAGGTCAAGCTCTGTTGCAGGAAAGAAGAAGCCCAAGAAGCAGCGCAACTATGACGACGATGACTTTCAGGCTCGATCCCGATTCAACGTGTATTATCCACAGCAGTATCCCGTTGCTGCGTACGCCGGAGACAATGCTGTCTATTACAACGGCTTCCCAGGGCCTACGCAGAATGCTCCCTTTGCGGCTATGAACCCTGGGGCCTCGCCTTCAACCACGTACAGTAACCCATACCCTGGCATGATGAACCCGGAAGCACAGCAACAATATGGATGGAACGGACAGCAGTATCAGCCCTCGAATGGATCGATGATGATGTACCCAGGTTACGGGCAAGGACAGAATGGATACGACTTGTCGGCAGACTTTCAGAGGGGCATGTCTTCGTTTCAGAACGCCGGTATACCATCCCAAGTGACGCCAAAGATGGCTAACCCACAGATGGCGTCCTACCAAGACAATTATCAACAGCCTCAACATATGCCTATGAACCCGGGATGGCCGCAAAATAATCAGCAGCCGTCATATCCGATGGCGCAGAACAACTACAGTGCTCCGAATGGACCAGGCAATCGTCCCATGTCTGCGCCTCATCAGGCTTCCATGCAAGGCTACCCATATGGCCAGTTTCCTCCTAATGCATACAATGGCAAGCCAAATCGTAATCAGCATCCTATTCCAGGAAGCTACAACCGTGGGCAGTTCAATCCACAGACTCAAGCCTTTGTTCCTGGAGGACGCAATATGCCTTTTGGAATGCAGCCAAACATGATGCAGCCACAGCCACAGATGAATGGCTATGGTGGATATCAAATGTCTGCTCAGACTTCTATGCCTGCCCAAATGCCCAGGCACAGTCCATCTGCTACTTCCACGCCATCATTTGGATCACCTCAAAGCATGCAGGGCAATGCCTCTGCTCCGACCATGAATCGAATTGCATCGCAATCTGGCGATCCAGGCTCACAAAGCAGCATCGCCAAGTACGGCACGCCCGCACACTTACCTCCGAAGCCCCCTGCGCCCGCACCAGCACCACCATTTGCCCTACCTTCTATGACGCGAGTGCCGTCTTCTGGAATGCCTAACAACGCTCCCAATATGCCCGCTCGGTGAGGGTAGGCTTTTCTCAACAATAACCACAACACCCTAATTGACGTTTCATGACATGACCATTAGCATTGCGACGGTGCTACTATCCTAACTTTTGCATCTTTTCCCTCTAACAATGGGTTACGGCAAGGTTGGGCAAAGGGGGGTATGAGGCGTTTTGTGTGACCGCTTTTTGTCGTTCTGATCTGCGGGTGCATTTCGAGGATCATGGGCGTTGTTTTTTTAATAAATGAAATTTCGGTTCTTGCGTTTGGACTGTGCGAGTGCGGGTAAAAGCAGTCTTTTTTGGGGTCAGTGCGGCGTCGGGGGTAATTAGTGTAGTTTAACAAAATTGAGATACATGGTTGTATAATGTGGTATGATGAGTTTAGGGGAATTTGTGATGTTGAGTTTTGGGGTGGTGCTTATTGAGTGATGAGGAAGTAGGCGAACTATGGTTGCTAGACGTGCCTGGATAAGAAATTAAGACAGTGAACAGAGTACCTCACCAGATCAGTGGTCGTGGATCAATCAGCAGAGGTTGAGATATCGTCATTGCTGCTCTTGTTAGAAACCGGTAGTCACTGACTGGGGAAGTTTCGGTGGCTAGGTACTACCGTCTTTGCAACTAAGATTGACGGCAGACAGTTAGCACAACGACAGGCAACAACAACAACACCACGATGCATAGAACTCCAGCATTCTTATTCTCAATCTTATCCTTCTCACCAGCCATTACCGCCTTCGCTACCACCATTACTATTCCAAAATGCTAGACTCCGCAGAACTACCCACCAGGCTCTTAACCATGCCAATCTTATACCTCCACCGTCCAGACCCCGAGTACGTCTTTCTCTCCCCCCCTTTTTTTCCCACCCCCCAACGAAACCCCACATCAAGAGAAGAAGAAGAAAACAAAAGCTAACACTAGTATTGAAAAAAAAGGGAAAGAGGCTACAACATCGTAAACTGCATGATCAGCCACCCACCCACACGCATCCCCGTCCACGAAGAAAAACTCGCAGCATGCTCCCCTCTCCTCCGCCACTTATTATCGCGTGCGGCCCGCCTAAATATCCACTGAGATCGCATTTTGAAGTTTGAAAATGTAGAGGTGCGCACATTTGAGGCGTTTGTCGCGTGGTTGTATGGGGATAAGAATGATGATAATGATGATGGTGGTGGTGAGGAAGAGGAAGAGGAAGAGGAAGAGGAAGAGGAAGAGGAGAATGGGGTAGTAAGCGAAGCGCTACGGGCATTTGCTCGGGAATATGAAGTTGCGTTTTTGGTGGAAGAGGAGGAGGAGGAGGAAGAGGAGGAGAGTGGGTGTGAGTGTTTTGGTTTGTGCGGGGTTGGTAGAGCAAGGCAGGGGGATGATGGAGAAGATGGAGGGCTGATGTCGGGTATTACGTCTTGAGGTGGGGATTTGAAACCACTAGGCCTGTGCTAAATGATGTACTGTTGTGACGATAGAAGATAGCAGGATAAGTTTCGCTGGTTTAGCGGCACTTGCTGCCTATATGCCTACTTACCTGGCTACACTGGTCGCGCATATACCTACCGATCCGGCTGTACCAGCTACCCATATGCCTACTATTCAAGCAAGCTCAATAGGTATATAGTTAGCAAGTGCAGCTATAATACTCCTGCTACCTTCCCTAGTAGTAAATAGTCTGGATGAAAAACAGTTTTGTAGCATTCAATTTATCAAAAAAAATCATTCATTTCAAGTTTTGTAATTTTCAAGTTTGGTTTTAGCTGTGTTTGAATTCCGACCTTTGGGGCGGTACCGGTTACCCGTAATCGAAGAGAGAGAGAGGGGGGAGGAGAAGAAGAAAGATGCTAAAGATTTGGATAGGAAGACAAGCCGATCAACCGCGTTGCGAGAAAGATTCGGTTTGATGGTTATTCGGGGGAAAGGAAAAAGAAGCAAAAAAGAAAGAGGGGAACCTACTGCATGGTCGTGTGAGACACTACACTTGTTTCTCAACGGTTGGGGAGGGCTAGGGAAAGGAGGGTGGGATCAGTGGGTGACGAGATGTCGGGCATCTGTCTCTTTTCCTTCTCTGTCTCTTACTTTCTCTCTCTCTCTCTCTTTCTCTCTGCAACCTACTTGCGGAGATAAGGAAGACGATGGTACTGTAGCATGACGAAAACGCATGCTAACAACGCTATACGCATGTCAATGCAATCCCACTTATCCCACCCCACTAGCAGCTATAAAAAGAAAACAAAGGACATCAAAGGGTGGCGGGCGTTGCGTCTGAATGGCGCGTCTGCCGTCTGGACCAAACTCTTGTGCATGCATGCGGAGTTGGGGTCTGGGACTGGGTTAGCATGCATATGGTAGTTTGGTTGAGATTCGCGTGGGTGACTAGTTTAGTTGGCGTTGTTAGCTTGGGTTGATGGGCTGATAGGGCTGAGGGTGCTACCAAAAAAAGGGGGGCAATATGCATGTGCAGGTGTGGGAGATGAAAAATGACGGGCAAGGTGTACTAAGGGTAGGGTGTAATAAGTCTGTTGAGAATTGAGAAGGTGGTTGGGAAGATGCGGACAGATGGAAATTGTAGTGGTCGATGCTGGTGTCATTAAGGTATGTCGTGGCTAATCATCTTGCTGTTTGTGTTACCCATAGTCGAGTCGAGATACTTTCAAGACAACAGATTGAACAAACAACTGCATTTATATACACCTAAACTTTTATATCTCAACTACAACAAAAAGGGAATCTAAATACATAATTACGTACAGTTGCAATTTTTTTAATTTGTTTATTTTCATGTTGTGATTTCGCTCCTTGTTACACCAAACCGACATGACCACCACATGTGGTTCGCTTCCTCAGACTATAATCGCCTATACCCCATCATCTAGTCAGACGATCAAACAAAAAAACAAGGAAATAAAAAAAGTTCTGAGCCTTGTACAAGGCGTGTACGTATAAACAAATCAAGGTAATAATAGTGAAGGACTCGTGGGTAAGAGTGAGAGAAGCGTGATTATTACAAGAGCCTGTATTGTCCGCATAAAGCCGTCGAAACCCCTTCTCTTCAAGATTACCAAAAAGAAATGGTGGGGTACCAGTAGAAGGCCCAGGAATCCAAAGGTCCTGAGTTGAAAAAAAAGAGAAAGAAAAGAAAAGTGTGATTCTCCGCGATGCGATGGCAGGCCGCAGTGGCAAGTTTGCAAACGCTTCTTGCTTTTGTTTCCGCCGAACACATGTGTAAGCCCGTCTCGCTCAATACTCTTCCTCGGTCCTGCAACCTTAAGGTGCAGGTTCAACCGGATTCATGCCATCTCATCGTGCTAGTTTGATACAAGCCTGCTCCTCCCAGCAGACGACCACGTCGACGCCCAACTCAGTGCCTTGCGCGTGCACACAGCACCACCGAGGGGGGTGGAAAGAAAGACCGAGGTATGATGTGAAAGCAGATCGACCAAAAAAGAAATAACCCTGCCTGAAGAACGCCGATGTGTGGATATATACCGACCAATATAGACAAGTCGACGGAATGAAAATTGTCGCAATATACAAGTGTAGCAATGAGTGTATAAGGTACAGTCAGATTATTAAAAGTTTTGAGCGATACCAGAGTTTCCTTGATGGGGGAACACACTTGGGTTCTCGATTCTTGTGTTTCGCCGTGCGGATACATCTCTTATGATGGGCTGTTGTTGTTGGCCGCCATAGGGATCGTTGGAGCCGTATGGGCCCTGCTGGTAGTAGTCTTGGTTGCCGTAGTAATCATTTTGTTGGTTGCCAGCCATGCCAGGATAATCACCCGAGTGGTCTGAATGATCGGCAGCTGAGTATGACGACGAAGCATTGGATGGGCCGCGGTGTACACCATTCTGGTTATTGGCTGAGTTTGTGGCTGTAGCGCCGGCGGCACCACCTAGGGCACCAATGCCATCAGAATCCATTGTTTGACGGCGTCCATCCATCAAGGGGTCGTTGGATTGGGCGTCAGAGTAGATTCCGGTTGGCGACTGGGGTGCAGCGTATCCGCCGGGGTTGCTGTTGCTATCCGAGTAGGTCATGCCAGAAGTCATAGTGGTTGACATTTTGCGGTTGGAACTGGTGGTGGTGTTGCCCCATCCTCGGTAGCCACTTTCATCCTCGGCCATGGCGAGACCACCGACGGCAGGCAGGGTTGGGTCATGGTTAGGGTTGAAGCCATATTCTTCCACCTCTTTCCTGCGCTCGTCCTCTGCGCTCTTGCGCTGCTTACGCTTCCGCCAGAAGAAGATGCCGCCGAGCACTAGCAGGGCTACGATGACAATGGGAATGACGACAGCAATGGCAGTCTTGCCGCTAGTGGAAAGCCCACCACTGTCTTCCTTTTGTGCGTCCTGCAGGCCAGTGGTGCCGGTGGTGGTTGGTTTGGCGCTGCTACCGCTGTTGGATGCTCCGTTGGAGGGTGCAGCAGTATTGGCTGGCGAGCTGATGGTAGACGTGATGGTGATGACCTGTGGAGGCAGGCCTGGAGCCGTGGCCGACGTGACGACTACGATCGAGGTGAAGACGTCTGTCGAAGTAGGGGCCGGCGGGCCGGTGACGGTGCTGGTCGGGGGCGCATTGTTGTTGGACGATGGTGGTGCTGGAGCTGGTGCAGAAGACTGGGCTGGCGGCGGTGCGCTGGATGGGGCAGGAGCAGGAGCAGGGGCGGAGCTAGGGGGTGGTGATGGAGTAGTTGAGGAAGGTGGGGGAGCAGGAGTCTCTGATGACGGGGGAGGAGCGGGTGCGCTCGAGGGTGCCGGGGTGGGTGTGGATGGGGGAGGGCTTGGTGTAGGTTCCGGGGCTGAAGGTGAGTTAGAAGCCGGTGGAGGACTTGAAGCCGGACTTGAAGCCGCAGCCGGAGGGGCTGATGAAGGCTGCGGTGTTGCTGCGGAGGGTGTTACAGACGGCGGTTGAGGCTGGGAGGAAAGAGCAGAGGGAGAAGAAGCGAGAGGGACGTTGGAGGGAGCAGAGGCAGCGGCAGAGGCAGAGGAAGGAGCGACAGCAGGCGGGCTGGACGCGACAAAAGAGGGAGATAACGTACTGGCAGGCGCATTGCTCGACATGATTGCAGAAAAAAGGGCTGCGCAGCCAGAGGGGCAGGGCACACGCAACACTTAGACTGGCAAAGGAGCGACTGAGGCAGACGGCGGATGGGGGCGAGGTTTGAGGGCGCGCCGGGGGAAAGGGTGTCGAGGATGGTCGGGCGGTGGAAGGCAGACTTGTGGGTATCAGAGCCGCGACAGAAACTAGGTTGGCGAGGGCGACGGTGAGGGAGTTAGTGTGTCGCGCGGTGGCAGCAATGCCGTGGGACGACGGGTGGACAGCTTCGCAGCAGCGACGAGACGGCGACGATCTGCTTGGACTCCGCCCGTGGGTCCGGGTTGATGATGTATCAAGGACGCGGCGTGGACTGGTGAGTGGGCGACGGGCAGCAGTTGTGCAGGAGACGGAGTGGACCCTGCGCGGGAGCAGGATGGGCGATCCCAGCCAGACGGCCGTGGTGCGGTTATTGATTGTACTGCCGAAGCGAACCACCCCAACAACAATGGCCACAGCACGCCCGCTGCGACTGGCCTGGCGCTCTGCGCTCTGCGCTCTGCCCTCTGCACTGCGCTGACGCTGACGGCCTGGCCCACAACGGCGTATCGCAGGGGGGAGGGGAGTTTGGCTGTGCTCGATGCAAATGCAGACGCGAAACACAGCAAGGGCGATGTGGGCTGACGGGCGTGCAGTGTGATATGCGCAAGGCCGGCGAGTATGGATGTCGCAGACTATGTCATGTCTGTATGCAGTCTCTCTGTCTGTGTGTGTGTGTGTGTCTGGCTGTCCACAAGGCGGCACAAATGAGCGCCAAGAGGGGCTGACTGGTGGTGCGGGAGCTCCAGACGGAAAGACGGAGACAGATGGGATGGATTTGCTGACTAGCAGCCAACTAGCAGCCAACTAGCAGCCAGCTAGCAGCCAGCAGTAGCCCCGAAGAGGGAAGCTGCTAAACACGGTGGCGCTGGGCTAATCACTGATACGGCACGTCCGTGGCTGAGTGCGTCCGAGAGAGACGTGAGAGTGCAGGCCAGCAGCAGCAGCCAGCAGTCATCCTGGTATACCCATCTCACCCACCCACTACTTACTAACTACCACTACCACTACCACAGCCAAGCCAGCGCTGGCGTACACCATGTGCAGCAGTTACATCGTAGACAAGTACACAATCCCAAACACGACGATGCCACCCATCCCCACCCATGCCATCATCCGACGTGAACCATCGTCATTGCTCGTGGGCCCCTTGGCCCTATCCTGGTTCCAATAACATCATCCCCTCGCTTTTTTTTTCACCAGCTTTACTTTTCATTTCCGCCCGTGCTCCGCCTCCCATTGGCTGCATGGCCACTCTATATTAAGCCCGTCTCAGCAGACAGAGGACATGGCTCCCTCGGCGCCTTGCCCTGCAGCCAGCAGCCCTCTATTGCTTGCCGCTCTCGTGTCACCGCGCCCTAGCTGTCTCTCTCTGCTTTATCCACGACTCAGGTGCGCCCAACCGCCTACCCATGTCTCGTAATAGGAAGTCGCAATGCGCCATCCGCCAACAACAACTCCCACCTACTCTATGCGTCCATGTACACTATCTAACAACTAGATTAATCACCTCACACCACTACCACTTACAACAACAACAACAACAGCCCTTTACCCGCCATTGCTCACAAAGCATCCGTCATCAACGCACTCTCTTTCTCTCTCTACCTAATTTGATTTATGCCACGCCGTGCTTCTCTTTATTTGCCCCTTTGTTTTCATTATTGTCCGATCCTACGAGCTTATTCACTAGCTAGCCCCTCGCTCCTTCCTCCCGTGCACAAAACAAACCCCGTGACCTATCATATCAGCCCCGGGATCACCGCCTTGCGACCCTCGAGCTTCTCCTTGCCAAACTTCTTCTCATACCACCGCTTGCTCTGCACCGCGCGTGGCACCATTGTAGAAATCTCGTTGAGCAGGAACGAGCGCGCCGGATGGCACTTCCACCCCCCAATCATCCACCACCCTGCCCACTCAATCCACTCGCACAAGTAGTGGGCAGACAACACGTACTTGAACAGACCGTTCTTGGGTATCATGTATACCTTGTCCACGCTCTCCACCGGCCTGCCCTCCTCCTTGGCCAACTTGCGCTGCCTCCGGTCCGCCGCTCTTCTAATTTCCCGCAGGTCGTCATCGTGGAACATATTTCCCATTAGTCCCCAGCACCACACAACAAGCCCAACAAACATCCACTCCGTACGCGCTGCCCACTCGTACTGCGACGTCGGCCCATAACCTGCAAGGTATCCCCCAATCGAGATGGCGTTGCACAGCTGAAATACAGCCGCCGCCACCCACACGAACAAGTGTATTGGTGACATGCTCGGATTCAAAAATAGAGGTGACAGGAGGGCGCGGTAGAGGTAGTGGATCACCTAATGTTTGTCTTTAGTTCTTGCTCTTGCTCTTGCACCTTCACCAACCTCACTTACAAAGCATCCAGCCATGGTCCAATTACCCCATGGTAACTCTTCAATCCCCAGCTCCTTTGGCAGCGCTATCATAATATACAACAGCGCTATGAAGCCCACCGACTCCATCGTCGCCCACCCAATCTTTCCATTGACATTAAACCGTGACTCGACCGAAGTTTTGCCTTGAGGATACCAGTCGAGCACCCATTGTACCAGGGTAAACTATACATTTTGCACAAACTGGTCAGCCCTGTCAAGTTCATTCTTCGTACTCGTAAACCCCCCCACAGCGCAAGCCACCGTGTTCTTCTTACCAACGGAAAGAATTGCCAAATCCAGCACAGCAGCTCCCAGTTCTCCCGCGACGGCGGCAGCCATCCTTGCACAATCGCCATGCTCTGATGTGGGCCCAGGTATTGCCAAACACGTGCGCCGACAAAGTTATGCAGAATAGAGAACGCCGGCAGAAAGTTGAGGGTGTGAGAGAGACAACAAAAACGACGCGTAACACGTATACAGTAAGAAGCAATTGCGGGGGGGGGGGCAAGCAATGAAATCAGCAGCAGCTCTTGCTCATCTAATAGTCCCTGCCCGCCCGCGCGCGCTTTCGGCCCAATTCCAATAAAACACAGATGTAAGAACACTCACACAGATGATGTCAGGACTTTAACCCAGTAGCTCCCTTCCGCGCCAAACCGAAAGCCAGTTTTGTTGTCGCTCACGGAAGGAAAGAAAAAAGACCCAGCTCTGTGGTCTCTCTCACACACACACACACACACACAACAAACTTACCCGCCCGTTTCCCGTTTTGTTCATCTTACTTGATATTATGCTTCTCCTCCCCCCCCCTAGTTGCACATCTCCGCGGCGAAAATGGAAATTGAACACGTTAGCGCCACACCTTGTTTCCCCGCAATTCACGACGTGTTCGTTTTCTCCTCCTTGCAATGCATGCATGCTTGCTTGCTTACATGCTTACGCACTCCCACCTTTTTTTTCCCCGTCTCATGTATGCTAGGAATATAATCAGTAGTGAAAGAAAACCTTGCATCAAAAACCAAAGCCGTCTCCTTAGCTCAATTGGGAGAGCGCCAGACTGAAGTCTTCGGTCATTAAATCTGGAGGTATCGTGTTCGATCCACGAAGGGGACAACGTGCCTGAGCTTGCTCGGGATTCTTCGAACGATTCTTTTTTTTGGTTTTGTCTTTTTTCCAGAAAACTTTTGAACATGGGAGAAGGAATGACACTGCATCGTGTCTGTTTAATATACAAAGTTTCTATTTTTTTGGGACAGAAAGCGGTTAGTTCATCACCAGGATCTCGTGTAGGATGATGATGAGCTACTGCACATGCCGTTTCCATGACTAGGGATTTTCGCTTGGTAATTTTATTTCAATCCTAATTATATCATAGGGTCCGATGAACATCGTATACAAATGAAGATTGTCAGCTTACAATTGAAAACCAAGTCATGTCGTTATGCAACATGCAATGCAAGTGCTAGTGGTAATACAGTGCTCCGTTCAACGTAGCAAAGAAGAAGAAGAAACCCCACATCTAATCATACCAAGTCGTTTATCATCAGACGTCTAACCCTCCAACTCCTACCTACTCCCCTCTGGCACCGCTAGCCTGCACATCACCAGTCGGTATGCTCTCCTTCCTCAACTGCTCCGGTGCCCTTGCCTCATTGCCCTTCTTGATACCTCTCGCTCCAGGCGTCAGGTACGTGTTATCCAGCGCCGGCAGCTCCTCGTTCGCCGGCGGCTCCCAGTGCTTGCTCTTCCACGGGGTGACGTGCAGAATGTACATTGTGTCGATTTCCTCGAGGGTACGACCGTGGGACTCGCAGACGAAAAAGTAGACTACCACTGCGCCGGTAAAACAGCATGCTGCGAAGACATAGCCGTAGCGGTAGTCAATGGCGGATGTAATGTATGGCGTGACTAGACGAGAGTTGTTAGTAAGCGACTTAAAGGAGATGGCAAGTATGTTTGTGTGCAAAACTTACAGAAAGAGATGAGAAAGTTCCAGGTCCAGTTGCTGGCGGTAGCGAGAGCCATGCATTTAGCGCGATACCTCGAAGGATAGATTTCGCCAACAACAGCCCAGATAATGGGACCCCACGTCATTGCGTATCCGGCGATGAAAAGACAGGCAAAGATGATCATGGCATAGCCAATGCCCTGGTTGGACGTTCCATCCGCGTTTTCGAGAGCAAAGTGGCCGAGTGATGCGAAGATCAGGAAACACATGAACATCCAGAGCCCTCCGACGATGAGCGATGGACGACGGCCGAACCGCTCTACGACATAGAGACCGGGGATCGTCATGCCGAAGTTTACGCCGCCGAGGATCATGGATGTCACAAAGGAGTTTTGGATGCCGACCGAGTTGAAGATTGTGGTTCCGTAGTAGAAGTAGCTGGGGTCAAGTGTCAGTATTCGAAGACGCCCGCCGTTTGAGCATCAAATAGAGAAGAATACTTACTAGTTGGCACCGGTCAATTGCTGCAAAGCCTGAAGTGCAACACCAAGCATAACACGATATGCCATCCTTGGACCGGTAAAAATCTCATACCAAGGATGTTTTCCTCCACCCGCCTGCTCCGCTTCAAACTTCCGCTGAATCTCCTGGATCTCGCGCTGCACTTCGGGGTGATCTTCCGAGACACCATAGGTCAAGGCAACAGTGTGTTTTGCGCTCTCCGTCTTGCCCTTGCGGTACTCCCATCGGGGAGACTCTTGCATGAAGAGAATGCCAGCAATCATGATTGCAGACCAGATGAAACCGATGCCCATGGGGAGTTTCCATGCGTATGAGCTGCGGCGCTTTTCGGTGCCAAAGTTGATGCAGTAGGCGGTGAAGATGCCGAGGGTGATGAACAGTTGGTAGCAGGATACGAGGGCGCCACGGACGTAACGGGGTGCGGTTTCGGATTGATACCTGTGGTGCTGTGTTAGAATACACGTATGACTTGGAGAAGTGATTCATTGCGACTTACATGGGCGTGAGAACAGACAGTGCTCCAACACCGAGACCGGCAACCCATCGACCAAGTGAGATTTGATACCAGACGTTGGTTGTAGTGATTTGTACAATGACGCCGATGCAGAAGATGATATTCCAGAAGACGATCGAGTACTTGCGGCCAAACTTATCGGCGATTGGGGCTGCGATCAAAGCACCCATCAAGGTACCAATGGACAGCTAAATGAGAAGTGTTAGATCAGATGCAAAGCGAAGACTGCTCAAGAGAACCACCAAACTTACCAACGCAACAATCAACCCTGACTTCCAATTACTAAACGAACGTTCTCCCGTCTGCGGGTCCCTGTTATCCGCAAATCTCTCTAGGAAATCCGGCATCTCAAGGAAACCCGAAATTTGTCCAGTGTCGTATCCAAAGATGAACTACGTTGCCACAAGTCAGTTTATTGTTACACAACAACCCACCCTGCTCATCCAGTCGCACTTACACCACCCATGGACACAATAATCGCCATGGCGATAATCCGCATTCGAAAGATCTCCTTCATTCCTCCCTTGAGCATCTGCGGCTTCGCCTCCACATCCTTCTCCAGCACCGTTGACTCGGACGTCGATGTGCTATCGCGTCCTCTAAATCGACCGAGTACCGCCATCGTGTAGTGTGTATTTTTTTTATCGAAAAAGACTACTGCTCAACCGAACAGCAAAAGTAAATGATCGAATCGTTGAAGATGGTGAGGGAGGACGTCATTACATATAGTGATAGTACACTTAGTACTGACGAACCCCCCCAGCTTCTCCATGCTCTCCTATGCCGTCATACCCCGCAAGGGTCTGCTCACAGCCACTGTCATTGCTTTCTCCCCATGTCCCGTGAACGACTAGTCTTTGTAAAGCGAGCAAAAAAACCATACGCGTAATGCGAGTTTAGCATCGAGAAACACAAGGGGATCATCATCTTCTGGTGCGTCGAAACAATTGACGTCATAGCTGATGCTAACTGCCCGAGAGAGAGAAAAAAACGGGCACTAAGCCGCATTGTGATTGGAAAGATGCTTGACTGGGTTAAGCTAAGTCATGACGGCGTCTTGTTCTTTTGTGTTATTGGCTGCGGTGCATTGTCGGAGGCAGGGACGATCTTTGAGCCTCTCAGTTCTGCCTTTGACCTTTTGCGGCTTGGCCTTTCCCCCCCGGTGATACTATTGTACCGCGAAAACGTCAAAGGTCGGGGGATGGACGTCATTTTGCAGATGGGAGGTTTTGCCGGCTATCTGGGGGAGGGGCAGAGTTCGTCTGTAGCGTGTTGGAAGTGACATCGGTCTGACGGGGTCGAGCAATTGAGGGCAGAACTAGACGGCGGCGCTCGGCATGACCTGCCTTGCCATGGGATGATGTACATAATTGTGTGCTGTTGCTGCAGCGGGAACTCTGTACTACGTACATACATGAACCAATTGTATGGCATAATTAAGCCTGGCAAGATGCATCGGATAAACGTTTGCGGAGGAAGTCCCGGTTTTTTAGCCCTTCTACGCGTCTTCGGTGCAGCTTCTTTGCGGGGTTAAGTATGGTGTCAGTGCGAATGTTGCCACTTCGGCACAGCACTCCCACACCCGTTGAGAGATTAAGATCTTTGATCTCAAACGTTCCATAAAGCCACTGCTCACGTCATATCCCTGGGAAATCTGTGCTTACACTACGCACATGGTCTGGACGACGACACACTTCCGGCTGAGTTGCCGTTTAGCAATGTGTAGTTTGTTGCTGTTCCAATTCGAGTAAAGAAGCATTAGTAATCACTCTGCATTTGCTCATGCACTGTGTCAGTAGGTGATAAGTAATCTTGCCATGCCAATCTCTGACCGCGCAATGTTGGATTGTTTATAGTTCAAGTACGGATATGGAGTAGACTTTGATGGAGCCTTATCACCACACCACCTCTTAGACCCACATCAAGTCTTCTGCTCTACACCAATGCACGAAACCCCCACAAAAAGCAAGTCGTTCACAGACTTATAGCGCACACGGCACGACCAGGCCCCAGGGCAGCCTACTCATACACTGCAGATTCTCTCCTTATGAAAATACAAGGACTGCAACGATTGTGTCTACCTCGGGGATCAACCTGTATAGAACAATTTCCACAATCATCGCACATATACCTGTCTCTCGAGAGCCCGGAGTACAATGGTTCCACAAAAGCACAAGCAGAGTGCACTCGCGATACTTCCATTTTCACCCTGTTGCATCTGCATTCTGCAAGCTGGCGCCCACCCAAGGTACGGTACGCCTCGTCCCTCCTATACCCATGCCCTGCTCTTTCCAACCCCGATAATCACGGAATACCTGGCCGACCCGCTCATCGTCTGACCCGACGTGGCGTCCACCATGCACGCTTCGCATCCATCCTTCCATCCATACACACACCTGCCCAACCCACTGACTCGCATCCTTTCTCTCCTTTTTCTCACGACCAATTCCTAACAGGGCAATTTACAGTCTCTAGGCGTAGATTCTAGGTGAAAACTGCGGATACAGTTTCCGACCACTAAATCACTTCTCGGGCCCTCGCACGCACATACCAACACCAATTGCACAAATCCATCTCGGCTACATTAGCCGTCCTGCTTGTGGGTTTTCATCCATTTTGCTTTTCGTTATTTTCTTTTGTCGAAACTGCCCGCAATTCTGCTGCTTGTCATTCGCTTTGCGCAACGCTTTGCTCATCTGCCATTACGCACGTTCACGCAGTAGTAACCACCACCGATCATACATGGCTACAAAGCAATCCGCAACTGCCAAGCTGACAACCGCGCATGTGAAAAAAAAATAAACACCCAAGTAAGAAAGCCAGCTCTCTCCATATGTGAAACCCGTTCTAGACTTCCTCCCTCACCCCCTCCAAGTTACCCAAGTAAACCTGCGCATCTGCGTCTCAGCAATCTAGACCCTGCATGTCACACCCAATCCCCCCTCCCCCTCCACACATACATGCACATCAACCCTTCATACCCGGCATATCTGCACGATAAACTACTTCCCCAAGAAATAAAAAAACATCCCTACTATCACCTCCACCCCTTCCCGTACCTATCCTTCACCGATGCAATGGTCCTTTCATCCCGCCTAGCCGCCACGTCGTGCAACCATGCACAAAACACAGCCATCCATGCCTCGAACGAGTAATTTGCGCTGCCGCCCGTTGAATATAGGCGTAATACACGGCTACATTTTCCGCCCTTTGATCATTAATCTGTTTTGTCACATGCACGCCCATGTGCATGCCCTTGCCCATGCCCCTCTCCCACTCCCCTGTATGCCCTGGTCTTGCGGCTATTTTTTTCCCCAGCGGTTTGGAGTGTGTGGATTCGGAAAAAAAAGAGTGGCTCTGTGGGATGGCATGTAACGTGCAAGCATGCGAGAAGGAGAGGTAGGCTGGGCGGGCTGTCCGAGTAATGGACCGCAGGTGTCGGCTTAATGTGCCGAGCCGCAAGGCGAGGCGTGGAAGAAAGTCCGTTGGAGGTTAGAAAGTTTAGTACGGGTTATGATTGATACGTTGTTTCATTGGCTTCAATATTCGCCCTTGAGTGACATTGCGAGACTTTTTTTTCAATTATGATGTGTGATTGGTGCATGGCACGATGTACCATCTCCACTGTTCTTTGGAAAGAAAAGAAATGTGTATACGTCACGATGGATACATATATATAAACTACATGTCACGCTATTGAGGTGGCTCTCATACCTTGCCCCCATCGGAGAAAGGCCGGTCCAATCTCTCCCGCTTCATCTTGGGTCTGATACGTCCCTTCGACACGCTACTCTTGCTAGCCACTACAGCCTTGTTCTTGCCAAGCACGCTTTTGAAGCCTATGCTTGTACCTAATGGTTCTGGACGCTGAGGTTCCGGGTCCTGGTCCGAAGCCGAGGTTTGTGAGTGACCCAAGAGGCCCAATCGCTCCTGGAGTTTCCTGTATTGAAATTCTGGGTCTCTTTCGTTTGCATTGATGGAATTGGGTTGGCTCCTAGACCTTTGTGACTCCTGGTATGACTGCCGAGAGACGGGATGGGCACTTGTCGATGTAGCAGATGCCGGCAAAGCAGATGCGGGGTCAACTTGTTCGTCTTTGAGGAAGCCGAAAATATCCGCATCTTCGACGTTTTGCTGCTGACGAGGAGTATCTTGGAGTTTAGAACTGTTGGTCGCGTCCTCAGCATACGGTATGGTCGTCACATCAGACCCCACTGACTCTTCTTCACTTGCTCCCGCTACACCAACATCTACCATCTCGAATAGTGGCGGTTGCCACCTAACCTGCCTGTCCTCTGCTTCTCGAGCTGCATTCTCTTGTGCTTTCACTTCCTTGTGTATTCGGTCCTTTTCTAGCGTTAGCATGAGCTGTCGTCGGTTGACGACTGCAGCCAAGGCCCGCAACAAGTCAGGCTTTAGCTCTTGCTCAGTCTCGAGATGTTGCATCGTCTCGCCTATGCGCTCGACTAGTTGTGCCTTGGCGTATCCTCGGATCAAGACGCCGTAAGTGAATTGATCTGGATCAGTGCCCCTGTTGCGCATGATCTCGAACACACGCTCAGCCGCCTGCACTTGACCCGTTTTGAAGAAAGCTTGCATCAGGATGTTCCAACTGTATACATTAGGCTTTGTCGCACTCTCGCTCATGTCTTTGATGACCTGAGATGCGTTTGCAAATTGTTGCTTCTGGCTGAAGGCGAGGAGGAAGGCGTTCCAGATAATCGGGGTTTGCACCAGGTTTCTAAAGGCTGGGTCGTTGTTTTTCGTGGCGACCGATGTGAACTTGTTGTACAGGTTGAGGACTCGCTGGTTGCTTATAGCCGCCGCCGATTGAATTTCTGCTTGCATCATTACGTACAGAGCCACAGAAGGAGGCGGAAGCTTTACAAAACCCGACGAAGCCTCATCCTGCTCTATCCTGGCAGGCCCCGGATTCATCATTCCTGAGGCGAGGAAAGGCTCCAGTGGCGCTACTGAGAAAAATTTCAGGTAGGCATTCCACAGTAATGCAGATCTGTGTCCAGCGTCAACATCGGCCTGGTGACGTACGTACAGATAGTACAGATAATCCGTTGCCAGCCAAGGGTCATTGGTCTCCTGTGCTATATCCGCACAGTGTCGGGCAAAGTCCTGGAATATAGATGGAGTACTTTGCAATGTACACCCATGGAGAAGGATCGAATAGGTATGCGGATTGGGCTCGAGTCCGTTGCTCTCTAAAGCGTTGTACACTTTGAAGGCCGTGGTGTAATCGCCAGCTTCCATAGCATTGTGCATGACTATATTGTAAAGCAGAATGTCCATCTTGATCCCCAAGCGTACAAAAGCCGCGACTATGGAAGGAGTCTGGTGGAAATTGTGGCTTGTACTCATGCTTTTGCGTAGTATTGTAGCACATGTCCAGCGTAATCTTTCCCGTTCGACCACTGATTTCCATGCCACATCGTTAAGCCTCACTCTCAACTCCTCGAGACATTTCAAGGCGTATTCCACCTCGCCAGCTTCGCCGAAAGCGCTAGCGTAGTGCAACATGGTGTCGAATCCAATGCGCGTTCGATGCTGAGCTAAGCAGTCAAACGCTTTCTTGAGATCATCAATTTCGGCTAGCTCGACCAGATTGTATAGTAAATCTTGTGAACAGACATCTGGTTGGCTGGCCAAGGATTTACTAAAGATGTTCACAAATGCAGGAACAAACACCCGTTTATGCGCCATTGGATCCGTACCCCACTTTTGACGAGTACCGTACTGCTTTCTGGTATGAATCTTGGAGAGATGACCAAGACCATCCGCGATGGCTTGTGTCTTTCGGCCTCGCAAAAGTGGGTCATTGGCTATGACTTGTATGAATCGCAGTGCAAGACCGGGCACGCGATCCAACAGGTAGATAAGCAGCCGATGGGCGTAGGCTTTTCTTGTGCTGACATCAAACTCGATCCAGTTTTTCCATACCATATGCGAACCGATTGGGGTATCAGGTGGGAAAAGTTTGCGGCTCAATCGCACGCATTGCGGGTTGTGTTTTATGACGATCCTTCGCGTGTGTTGCCGCAGAGAGGTGTAGAGGGCACGGTCAAGTGCTGCGAAGGCTAGGTTGAGAGAGAACCTTTTCCTATAGCGACAAGCTTCCGTCCTAAAATCTAGGTACCTCGATTTCCAATGGACCAGGTTGGACACGCGACGAGAAAGAGACCTATATGGTCCACGCTTCATCCGTTGGAGGTGTGAAAGATTGGACGGCAGTCTGGAGACATAATTGAAGAGTCGGGCCCTTTCCAAAGCCAATGCCCTAGCCCGTTTGGCAGCTCGCAAAGGCGCGTGTATAGCCAGAACTGAAGAGGTGCGGCCTGACTGAGCTCGACGATGTCGGCTTTTGGGTGGACTAATTGGGGCCGGCGAACTTGGGTGAGACGTAGTGGTCGCATATGCCCGTGCATGCTGTCGGGTAAGAGTGGATATTTCGACATAGAGAAGTTTGATTGGAGTCAGATGATGTGATTCTCTCCGCCCAAGAGTAGGCATCTGAAGAAGCCCCGCGTCAAGTTTCCTTTGCCTAAGATGCTGGCCACGAGTCAAGTCAGACTTCAATTGGAGCTCTCCAGCCTCGTCAAAACCATCTATCCGTCGCGAGCATTTTTGCAGCCCAAATGAGGCCTGTTTCTCTTTCTGTGTAGCATTGCCCCTTTGGTTGTGCGGTCTGGTACTTCCTGGAATTGGTGACTCGGCGAAGACCCTCGGTGCAAGGAACGGAAGAACGGGGAGGTCCGCGCTGGCGATGAAGCTAGCATTGGGGACGCGGACTCGGGGCATGGGAGAAAGGAGATGTCGCCGTCTTCATCGAGCCATGACGCGTGGTGGAGTCGACAATATAGTGTCATACCGGGCATTCGCAGGAAAAGTTGACAAAGTGCGCATGTGGTCAAAAGCGCTAGCCGGGAAACAGGGCCAACCTCCGAGCTCTTCTCCGCAAAAGTCGCGACCACAGCAACCTCAATTATCACCACAACCATATCTGCGCCAACCAACCACGCTTTCGGTTTTCTACCAAGACTTAATAGATATTTTCTGAGGCTAAATATAAGTCTCTGTGATTATTCTCATAGTCTGCTCTCATTTGACAGGCCCTGTAGCCTCCCCGGCGCAAACCCAGAGCTCTCCTCACCATGTCTTCACACGAGACACTATCCGCAGCAGCCAATGACCGCAAATCACGCCTCGCACAGCTCAAGTCACTCAAGAGAAAGCAAGAACAAATATCAGACGCGCCTGAGACTACCGAATCGTCTGCTACCAAAGACCAAGCCGAGCCTTCGCAAGCCCTTACGCGTACCGACGATGACGCAGAATCCTCCGTAGTGAAGACATATCTCTCTGGCCGAAACTACGACCCAGAAACACGAAACGTCAAGCTGGGCTTCGACAACCTGCCCATTTCCGACCCCACCAACACACTAGAATACAAGGCAGAACGGTTGGCGCTCGAGACAAAGGCCCAGCAAGAAGCAGAAAAGGCAGAAGACAAGGGGCTGGATCTATTCAAGTTACAGCCTAAGAAGCCAAACTGGGACTTGAAGCGAGATCTGGATCAGAAGATGAAGCCGTTGCATGTGCAGACAGATAATGCCATTGCCAAGCTAGTTAGGGAAAGAGTCGAGGCGCAAAAGGCGATACGAGAGAAACAACCAAGAGACGAAAATACTGGTGACGAAGTGGGCATGGAGGGCGCAGAATTGGTCGAGGCTATGCACTTGAAGGAGCAGGAGGAGGAGCGTGAAAGGAAACGGGAGGCAGAAGAGGAGGATATAAGCTGAGGGGGCGCAGTGAGCCCAAGAAAGATGCACAACCACACGGCACAATAGGACCCTGCTCCGTGCGCATTTGCGATAGCCAGATAAATACCCTCATATCAGGTCTACCGTCCGGAATCTGCTAAATGTCCATGCCAGGTAAGAATATAGCAGTATAGCACGCGCCTGCAATTAAAAAAGGAGCGAAGAGTCATGGTCGTTTTCGACGTCGTTTTCGATCATATAGGCCATGTCTTGATATAACTGAGGCAAACCATACAATCAAGCCGTCATATTGCGCATTCCACTGCTGTGTCACTCGCATTCTCTATGTTATACACGCATTCCCTAAAACAACACTAAATAAATCGCTAGTATGGGTACTGGGAAAACTTAATTTGTAAAGCCGTGATATTCATTGGAAGGCTTGAATTTGGTTGAGTTCAGCTCCGGTCCAACTTATTGGTGACTTTGTGCATAATTCACTTGCAAATCTGGAGTAAATACACACAGATGAGCGCCCGTTACTTGAAGCTGCGTCAACATAAGGTTAGTGTCAACTTATGTTTTTCGATATATTCGACCGATGTGGTCAGAACAGTCCACCAGAAAAATGCTTTGCCAAAGCGAGATCGAAACAAAGGAAGCCTTGTCTTTTTCCCAAGTATCTTCAAACAAGATTCAAGCAAGTATTTAATCTAGCGACTTATTTCTGCCTTGTTTGGTCGTTTCACTCCGTTTGTCTTGTAGGAAAAAAAGGGCGATGGCTATGGGTACCTAGGACCGTTCGGCAGAGAAGAATGGAACCGGAATCAAGAAACTCAAATCGGCCTCTACAGACAGTTCCTAAAAGTAAAGTTTCAAATATCATATGGCTAAATGGCGTAGTGCATCACTCGGGCGATCGCTTTATGTGAGATGAGGTTGTTTGTGTTGGTCAGACTGCGACAACCCTCATCCCAGCCGACTGTAGATCTGAGTACATACGCTGTTCTCGGTTACGAGTATCGCATAATTAAATTCCTCAATAATTTTTTATCGATGATCCAAAGCCACGTGGGAAAGAAAGATACTTCTACAGATTTGTGTGCTCCAACTCTCTCCAACAAAAGCCTCGCAAAATCCGAGGTATTTAACAATATCGAAGACATTGGCGTTCTACATAGTACTGTCTCAATGACTCAACAATCATATGTCAGTTGCAAGTTTCCCCCACATATCAATGTCGGCTGTTCTTTGCCGCCGCCTTCCCGAAAGAGTATTAACCTCGGTACCCGAAACGTGTTGCGGAGGCGGGGACGACCACCCGCGCGCCATAAACATAGTTACAGGATCGCAGCGGTGTATTTTATGTCGATTAGAGGCGGCTAGGCCATATGCAGCCACTCCGAGCAGCTATTTTCATACAATGGCTGTATCAAATAGCCCGGTTGACACTTAGAATACCTACTACTGTCTGTACGTTATCAAGGGGCGCGCGGACGTGTTGCTGCGGAGCATAAATATACTTACATCTGAACACCGCCTCCACTTCCTAGCTCTACAACCATCATTCTGCTCATCTGTTACGGCTTCTCTACCAGTGGACCTCGCATTCTAGTTTTTCCTTCGCAAGTTTCTAACATATCACCGCTGCCATGGTTCGCGAAAAGCAACCCGTTTACGTCCTCGGCGTGGGCATGACCAAGTTCATCAAGCCTCGCGGCAAGGTGGACTACCCTGAACTTGGCTTCGAAGCTGGCGTAAAGGCTATGCTCGATGCACACATTAACTACGATGATGTTGATCAAGGCGTTGCATGCTACTGCTACGGCGACTCGACATGTGGCCAACGCGTCTTTTACCAGTTCGGCATGACGGGTATTCCTGTATACAATGTCAACAACAACTGCTCCACAGGCTCCACCGGCCTATACATGGGACGGAACTTGATTGCGCATGGAGCTGCAGACTGTGTGCTCGTCGTCGGCTTCGAGAAGATGTTTCCAGGAAGTCTGCAGACTTTCTTCCAGGACCGAGCAAACCCGACAGGCACATCGAGCCTACTGATGAAGGAGACAAGGGGTGTCACGAATGCTCCCGGCGCAGCGCAGATGTTTGGCAATGCCGGTCGGGAACACATGGAGAAGTAAGTTCTCTGGTTTCAATCAATGATCATTACCGTGTTCTAATGGCATCAATAGATATGGTTCCGAGCTCAGGGACTTTGCAGAGATCGGTCGCATCAATCATGCTCATTCGAAGAACAATCCTTACTCACAGTTCCAAGATGAATACACACTCGAACAGGTCATGAAGGCACCCATGATCCACGAACCTCTTACGAAGCTCCAGTGCTGCCCGACTTCGGACGGTTCCGCAGCTGCAGTCCTTGTCTCGCAGGAGTTCCTCGACAAGCGACCTGAACTCAAGGACCAAGCCATCCTGATTGCCGGGCAGCGACTAACCACTGACACGCCATCGCTGTTCAACCGCAGTGCTATTGAGCTCGTAGGATACAGCATGAGTGAGCTAGCTGCCAAAGACGCACTAGCAGAGGCCAAGGTCACTCCAGATGACGTCAAAGTATGCGAACTCCACGACTGCTTCTCTGCCAACGAAATGGTCACCATCGAAGCTCTCGGTCTTGCACCAAAGGGCAAAGCCCACGAACTTATCCGTCAGGGTGGCATAACCTACGGAGGCAAAGTCGTCATCAACCCCTCTGGTGGTCTCATCTCCAAGGGCCACCCACTCGGCGCCACAGGCATCGCTCAGTGTGCTGAGCTTGTCTGGCACTTGCGTGGATGGGCCAACAACCGCTCCGTCAAGGACACCAAGGTAGCGCTCCAGCACAACCTGGGTCTTGGTGGCGCAGTCGTGTGTACCGTGTATAAGAGGCACGATGGAAGCGCTGCAACGGACAAGTCTGATGAGGAGATTTCAAAGATTACTGGCTTGGGATATAACCCTGCGACGGTGGCAAAGGGATTTACCAAGGAGCAGGTTGATTCGGTGAGGAGTAAGAAGGCGAGGAGTGAGTGGGCACTACAGGATACTCAGCAAAAGGTCGAATCTAGGTTCTGAGTTTCTTCTTTTGGACTTTGTATTAAATTGGTTGTTCTAGTCGAGGTTTTATATCTAAGTACCGACCTCGTTTAACGGTCTACGGATCACGTGCAAACCAATCTTATGGTGATGCTAGAGAAACAAACTTGGCGAGTGGAAATTAGGTAACAGGGCAAATAGATGCGAGAACGCCATAAGGGTCCAATTCTCGTGTACTAGCCTATTGTGGCTTTCTATGGAATGCGCAAAAATCTGTTTTGAGGTATGATTCAATCATAACTCGTTCTGTTTTGCGTTTTGGTGGATGGTTGCGAAGGACGACACCATTGTTGCTGTGTAATTGTAGACTTTTGGAAAACCTCAACTCCCTACCCATAGATTCCCTGGCCCTAAACCCCCAAGCTAGCTATGAGAGACAAGGGCTTCTGAAAGCATTAGTTATACTCAAAAACCCATTGCCGTATGTTGATCGGTCTCTGCGAAGGAGGCTCGCCATCTTCCATATCATTGAATAAGACTAACTCGGGCGGCTCCCCATAGACCCAGCGGTAGACTTTGGCAATCTTTCCAGTGTTGGGCGTAAAATTCTCATGGAGAATGAGTTTTTTTGCAAACAACAATTTGGTATAAGGATCCAGGATTTTTTGCAGAAAAGCAATGTCGAATCGCTCGCGAATTCGGTGAAGACCAGGGGCTGCGGCGAGGAAAAAGCTTTCTACGGTTTGTATAACGTCGCCTTTGCTCCATCCACAACAACTTACTCGTTTGTATATTGAGTTGTGGATTATGCTAAGGACTGTCCAGACAAGTTGAGAGGTGTCGAGGATGTTGAGGACGGAATAGTTGATGCCATCGACAATGTACAGCTTCATTGCTACGTCTACGACAAAAGCTAATAGAATGGCGTCGGCGGCTTCAAATTCGCCATGCTGGACCAGAGACTTCGACCAAAGAAGCGATGAAGAACAGTCCCATGACAGCGTGTAGGGGCCTGGCACAGAGATGATTGCGTTGATGTAGAAGCACTCTTCGTCAACGTCGCCGTTTTCATCTTCATCATCATCGGAGTCGAAGCCCCAATCGGAATCGGATTCTGAAAAATCGGAGTCGGCTGTAACATCATCCTCGGAGCTCGTCTGTCTGTGTGTTGTGGTAAGCGGACAAGGCCTCGGAAGGCTCATAAGAGCGCTACTAGATTGCGCCATTGGTGGGCTATGGAAGAGGCAACTTTGGTCTGTATGGCTTCATGGGGGTTCCTTTTTTCAATACTGAAGTAGTCATGGAGAGCAACGTCGTATAAATGTAAAAGGGGATGTGAAATCAGAAACATTATATAAAATCACCTGTATACACGGATAGACTGCGAACTATGGTTGGTATTCGAGGATTGGCTGCGTGTCGGAGGGGGAACCGTGGTTGAGAAGATGAGTGTTGGAGAATTTGTACCTGCAGCAGAGGAGTCAGCTGTGCCGATTGCTTCATAGAGCACTGCGGCTATGCGGGGAGGGTCTGAGACGGCGATGGTATGCTGTACCTGCACCAGTCTCCTGATGGTGGTGTGGGGGAGGGAGAGGTGAAGGGAGCCAATGAGCTAGCTGTTTACGTACAGCAGCAGCCTAGCGTGCCAAGACGCTCAACCAGGTCGATGAAATTTGTTAGCGACGCCCTCTTCTTCTCTTCTTCTTCTTCTTTACATATTGTCAACGGTCTCCAATAACCCTAAGGTCCTTCCTCGCAAGAGTGGATTTGCCTTTTCCAGAGCAGACCCAGAAGAAAGCACAGCCGTTCTAATCCTGCAGCTCGTCGTCGTCGACTTCGGTCGGTTTTGGAGCTGCGGGTTCGCTTTAGGCCTACATACTGACAACTCTCTTCAGACGTGGCTGCGCTGGTCCGACGGCTCTTCCGGGGGGGGTCATGGCTCCATAACGCCGCCCCTCGCACCGGCCAAGGTACCTGGCATAGTTGCTGCCAGTGGTGCTGTCACAATATGCGGCCTCCCGTCACCGACACCCAGGTTGCGTCCCAATAACTAGGCGTGCCATATGCCCTATGCTGCAGGGAGGCAGCCAAACACTGACCACCCACTCATGGCCATTGGGGAGCCTGTGCAGCCACCTGTCGTACGGCTCTAGACGGTTGGAGTCAATGGCCACAAATAAAGTTGGTCGACCAGCTGAACAGCCCCCGCATGTCTAGACCGGTGTCACTCCACAACACCATTGGCCACTCCGAGCGCGACAACAATAGAGCAGCTGAACAGCAGCCCAACAGCCACCAATTCAACCTGCTTCTCGTGCTTCTCCGCCCCTTTGCAACGAGTGTGTTTTCGTCGCTTGGGCCATGACATTCATTCAAATTCATGGCACACGATCAGCAATTAAGCGGGCCACTATTGGCTAGCCCGCTGCGTGTTGTCGTATTGTTCCAGCTAGTTCTGTGTCTTACTGGGTCCGTCGCGTCCGTCGCGTCTAGAGACTGGCCATATTTTCCGGTGACACTCTATTGGTGAACGTGTCTCACAGCCCACTTTGTGGCTGGGAACTTGGTCGTTCAGCATAAGTAACTACTGCATAGTCGCATCGGTGATTCGAGGCCCATCACCTCGACAAAATGCGCCTCGGACAGAGACCTGGTTTCCGTCACCTAAGCATTTGTTGCCTGCTCGGACATCTCTTCTCAGCCCTGTAGACCACTCCCATTTACAGTCGTCGTCCTTCGCTTCCTGATACTCCCCACTATACTACTTTCATCGTGCTTGAAGTCTCCTGTACCTGGGGGGCCCTTACTTGTCCATCGGGAAACGTCATGAATGCACATCATGGCCTACGTACGACTGTGCTCGTTCGCTGTGTCTAGTCTTATCACCTTGGCCCTATCTCAACAAAATGATCCGATCAAAGACTTCTGCCGTCGATGGGGTCACGCGACGGCGCAGATCGATTCGAAACTCTACATCGATGGCGGCATGATAGCGTCGACGCCATTTCAATCAAACCATACGAGTATGTAAAATATCTGACAGCAGATGCTACAATCGTATCTAGAAAGCCTAACAACAATCTTCTAGACCCATGGCTTTTGTTCAGCGACTTGAACCCATCGACCGTTGGTGCCGAGATGCCGGCGCAATATGCAAATCTGTCCAAGCCTGGCAACATACCGAGCGTATCCGGCGGCTATACCTGGGCAGACAACATCAACAAATGCTTTTATCAATTCGGGGGAGAATATCCTGAAGGCGTCAGTCCTACAGATTTCAGTATGTGGACCTATGACGTGCCACTCAACCAGTGGAACAGCACCGACACAGTAGGCGACAAAACTATACAACGAGTATCTTTCGGTGCTGGAACACAGGTAGAAGAGCGTGGACTCGGCTTCTACTTTGGCGGCTGGCTGAGCAATCGAACTACGGTAGGCTGGAAAGGACCACCTATGGCTACAAATGGTCTTATTCAGTTTGACATGTCTACTGGCGACTTGAAGAACATATCGGGGCCTGATGACATTGGAAGAGCCGAGGGACAACTGGTCTATCTTCCTGTTTCTGACAGCGGCGTGCTGGTCTATTTCGGCGGTATCGAGGATACTTATCGTAACGGGAGCTTTGATGCAGTAAGACTAAACACTACATGCACATAGTCAGCATACTAATCTCGTTTCTAGGCGAACATGAGTGTAAATGGTATGCGAATCCTACCCAGAATGTGACTAACGCCATCCAGACCATTCACATCTACGATATGGCTTCGTCTAAATGGTATACACAAACAGCCTCGGGCACTACACCTCCTACACGCAGACAATTCTGCGCAGATGTTACCTGGCCAGATGATAAGTCATCTTATAACATGTAAGAAACTTTTCCTTTCTACTGTTTCTATCAACACTTGGTCATGCGGTTGCGATATTCACTTCTGATGTGGAATATCGCTGGCCATCTGAGATCCGTGGCGTCTTCGTCATGTGTGTGTATGTGTGTGTATTGCCCCTCAGAATATCGCTTGATGTTCTCTGGATGTGCAAGGATCCCAATTGAGGGTCTGTCAGAGCGACATTGTGGTATTCAGGCCGCGCGTAATTTGAGCCGGCAGACCAATCGTATAAGCACATGCATGCGAGCAAAGTTGGCTTACTATGAGTAGTTATCTCTACGGCGGTTATGGGTTTGGAGAAACTCCCGCATTTGATGATGTCTACATCCTCTCCCTTCCCTCTTTTACGTGGATAAAGGCATTTCCCGTTGGTGATGGTGGGCCAAGTCCCGTCATAATTGGCCATGGAGGTTGTAGTGCCAACGTCATCAACCGCACACAGATGTTGGTCATAGGTGGCTGGTTTCCCATATACGATAAATGCGACTCGCCAGAAAGTCAAGGGCAGCATAACATGGTTCTTGGGTTTAATGGAGAGGGTGCTAAGCTTTGGGACAAGTTTCAACCAAAGATTAGCGAATACGTGGTACCTTCGCCTATTGTGGCAGCCATTGGTGGGGGGTATGTTTTACTCAGCAGCTTGTGAGAGAGAGGTCATGTCTAACAATGGTAACAGGCCAACTGGAGGTGCCACTAAAACTGCGCCTGCGACTTGGGGGCATCCTGACTTGGCGACATACTACACTTTGAAACCTAGCTTCGCAGCCAGATCAGCTACTCGTCCACTCCCGTCGGCAACAGGATTACTGCCACCTGACCAACCCAAGAAGACAAGTATTGGTGCTATTGCCGGAGCTGCTGTCGGAGGTGCTGTCGGACTAATCCTCTTATTATGTCTCATCTTGTTTTGCCTACGCAAACACGAGAATGCTTTGAAGGAAAAGAGAAAGAAAGAAGGCGATACCAACAATGCGAATCCGCCAATTCCGCCTGCTGAGTTGGAAACCACGGTTCCACAGGAGATGGCCGCCTCGGAGGCTAGCAAGTACGTATCCATTCACAATCGAGCCGACGCTGCCGCCCTTGCCCAGCATCAGGAACATGCCCAACAGTACTCACATTCCGCCAGCCACAACTACGGATCGCCGCAGCCAGCCCAAGGCCCTCCGTCGTACGGATTTGTACCGCCATACACATCACCCACAGAAGCCACTTTCAACCAAGTCTCCCCGAGTGTAGGGCGGTCCTATTCAGACGATGGCATTATACAAAACTCTCCAACTACGGTGTGGGGTACGCCGGTTGACTATCATTCACATGGATCAAACCATGAAGGGCATTATCTGTATCCTACTCCGACCACACCACGGCAGCCCCCAGGGGATCTTTTTCACCAACAAGTTCCAATATACTACCCGCAAGTCAATGCCATGGCAACGCGCTCACGGCATTCCCGGAGTAATCTCACCGAAGATGGAGAGGCCTCTGACAGTTCACTAGCAGGCGGTCAGGAGCAGCTGCCCGTCAGCATTGCGAATACTCCTGCTCACTTTTATACACATGCAGGGTCGTATATTTCGGCAGGCAGAAGTAGCGGGGGACGGAGTCCGGATGGGAGAAGGCCTGTTCAAGGAAGATTCATGGAAGAAGATCATGTATGAATAATGTGACTTGGTTGAGGGGGCAGAAACTTGGCTTTTTGTGATTACAAGCTTGCAGACCTCAAGGGTTTTAGTTCCTGAGGTCATGTCCTATGATGAACTGGCGTTGTTTGAGAGTGGCGTGCTTTAGTCAAGCGCAGTATGCAATGAGATTCCAATGAAATGAATTTCGGGCCGACTGTAGTACTTTGACAGATCACAGCTATCTTAGGCTAGCCAAAACTACACACGTACTAGGATGTTGCAATAAGCAAATGTTGAATGGAACTGGAAATGCAATACGTGCGCTCTCTAGTGCAATGATTGTCACGTGCTACCGCGCTTACTTCGGTCCCGCTGTCGTTCACACGTTTCCCACTACTTTTGCCAAGCGCAAGGACACATGTCTTCAACATACGCAACGCTCTCGACGCCTGACCTTCCCATGATCGCAGTGCGAGCACGATGATCAACTTGCGCTCCATCCTCCTCCTGGTAATATCCTACGTTATTATTCCGCGCCTCACATTTCTCCCGCCCAATGTCCACTCGCTGCTAAGCATCTTCGGGCCCTTCCTCATACCTCTCGTTTTCGACTGGATCAAAACCGCGCGCACAGCTTCTCCGAGTGTACCCATACGTCCGACACCACCAAGAGTTCAGCATGCGCTCAATTTGCTCTTCTTGAGCGCAGTCGTATGCCTTGGTCTTTCGCTTTCGCGATATGCACCCGAGAATATCTTCCTCAAAACACAGAGCCACATACGGACGGAGCCAAGCGTGTTGTTTGTGCGACTGAGGCATCTGCGCCCACTCACGGACGAAGATGAAGCCCTCCTGGCAAAGCTCAAGTGGGGTATGCGCAACAAGCTGCTCTATCTCGCGTATGGTCCAGACACACTGCTGAACTGTGTGTGGTGCACTGTGGCCGACGGGAATGATCAGTTCAACTACTTTCTATACTCTCTGCCGAAAATCGTCACGCCGCACATATTTCAACTAGCCGTGCTCGGTCTCGCTACCTCGTCGCTCGTCGGAGCTGAAGGCTCACGCTTCCGCATTCACGCTACAATTGCAGGAATATTCATGATGGTGGTAGAAGTTTGGTACATGGGTACTTATGATATTCTGGCCAACAAACGGGCAAAGTACGTCCAGGACCTCGATTCGGCATACTGGCGCGTCCGCTTCCTACGATACATAACATTTGCCCTGGTCGACATGGGCCTGGCGTATGTGCTGTGGGCTACGAGTACCAACCGGTTGTTTGCGAAACCCGTTTCCATTGCCGAGCGCATCGAAGTCACTACCCGGACGGCGGAGGATACTTTTAACAAGACGCGGGCATTGGGGCTACTCACAAACTCTGTGAACCGCGATCCGGCGCTGAGGGGCGTAAGGGAAGAATATTGGAGGACGGAGGGACAGGTCACGGCAGAAGTGGTGCAGGATGAAGTGGTGACGGAGCAGATCAATGCTGCGATTAGCAGGTTGGATATGGGCTCGCTGGAAGGTCGTGTTGGAGAGGTTGCCGACGGCATACTTGCAGGCATTGACAGTCTGAGGGCAGGATAGATGTTTCCAGCGACGTACATAAACCAAGCGCTCTCATTTCTTGGATGCTGACCTGCACTCGTCATCTTATCTCAGGCATTGCATCGTCGGATAGAGATGGATGAAGGAGCTGGCTATATGCGGAATGGTGCTGCACAGGCATGATGTAGGTGGCACTACTGCATCAAACTGCATAGCGGATCTCGGAAGATGTCAAACGATGCTGATATGCACCCTGTTTCCTCGCGAAGGTCACTTGAACGATTTTTATCCCTGCAACAAAGTTCTCGATCGCTTGAACCGCTGCTTGCCGACGGGGCATCTTCCGCTACGGCGACAGCAATTCTGTCCCGCCAAGTTGCAAGTACTCTCGGACACGGAGCTGTAGACACGTGTATACACCACATGCATATGTATGTGCTATATTGTCCTTCTCCGAACATGGAGCCGAGCCCGATGTCGCATTGCTGAGACTTGGGATGAGTCCTCGTCAATCGGAAGCCTGGCCGGATACTAGCGGCAGGTACGGGAGCGGTGGGCCTGGATACCACAGGCTCGGCACACGCCCTACCAACAACACCGCATCTAATATAGTCAGGTACGCTAGCAGACACCACACCGGCTTCTGGAAGACGCGTATGCCGGCGCCGTGCGGAGAACAATGACACGGCTGTTTTGCAGCAATGGCAAATCCAAGACGAGACAACGTTCAATGACAGCAGCAAAGAGGCGGCAACTATGAAAAAAAAAGTTTGTTATCAGGTTGGGGCTCCGCCAGAAGTGGAACCTTATATCATGGCCATGGCATCCGTATGTAAGAAAAAAAGACACTAGACTGCCGCGGTAGTCGGTGCACGGCTGGGCGGACATCACATCGATGGATCCAACAGGTAGGTGGGTTTGGTCCCGTCCGTGTGATAGGGAGGTGTGACTCTTGGTCGAAATTTTTCATTCCTTTTGTATAAGAGGCTGGCTTGGGTACCTTGTTTTGCCTTCTTTGTACTTGACTAACCCTTCCCCCCCTCCCTCAATCTCTCCATCACCGATTGTGGTACCGCTGCTTCGTCGGCCATTGTCACTCAGCCTCTTGTTGAGTCACAACCTAACTGTCATAAAAACAAAGCAAAGCAAAAAACAGTAACCATGGCACCCATCGCCGTCACGCCCCCGAACCAGAACGAGAACGTCACCGACCTCACACAAGAGGGCATCAAGTCGGCGCTTCTCAAGAACGCCCCGGGGCAAATCAACTCGTCATCTCTCACAAACTCCATCACTGCCACACCACCAAACGAGCCAGCATCCAAGACTCAGGATGTAGTAGAAGCACCTCTCGCGGAGCTCGACGCTTCCAAGATCACCTGCACATTCACCAACAGTCCCTGCTCAGTTCCCGCTGTAGGATCGGCAGAGATGGCCAGCCAAAAGGTGTGCACCGACCACATGGTACAAGCCAAATGGACCGTCGAGTCCGGCTGGGAAGCACCCACCCTCCAACCCTACGGCCCAATCTCCCTCGCGCCCACCGCCTCATGCCTGCACTACGCAACCGAATGCTTCGAAGGCATGAAGCTCTACCGTGGCCACGACGGCAAACTCCGTCTCTTCCGCCCCGACCTAAACTGCCGCCGCATGCTCATGTCCACCAACCGCATTGCCCTGCCTGCCTTTGATCCACAGGAACTGCTCAAGCTCATCGTCAAGCTCTGCGCTACAGACGGTAAGCGCTGGCTCCCCAAGGACCGCCCGGGCCAATTCTTATACATCCGCCCCACAATGATTGCGTCCGACCCCGCGCTCGGCGTTGAACGCCCCAAGGAAGCCTTGCTCTTTGTCATCCTGTGCTGCTTTGCCCCCATGGGCGACATGAACGGCGGCATCAAACTCCTCGCCTCCCAAGACGACATGTGTCGTGCGTGGCCCGGCGGCTTCGGATACGCCAAAGTGGGGGCCAACTACGGTCCTTCCCTCGTTGCACAGGGCGAAGCCCGGAAGCGCGGTTACCACCAGATTCTGTGGCTGTTTGGTGAAGACTGCACCATTACCGAGGCGGGTGCTAGCAACTTTTTCGTCATCTGGAGGACGAAAGAAGGCAAGTTGCAGCTTGTTACTGCGGATTTGAACGAGAGGATTGTGCTGGATGGTGTGACGAGAAGGTCCATTCTGGAGCTTGCTCGTGCGAAGCTCGTATCTGATGCGCCGCAGGATCTCGAGACGCTCGAGGTGGTGGAGCGCAAGTTTAACATCTTTGAGATTGAAGAGGCGGCCAAGGAGGGACGCCTTGTTGAGGCGTTTGCCGCGGGTACCGCTTGGTTTGTTGCGCCTATCAGCCAGATTCACTTCCGTGGCAAGGATATGGATGTGCCCATGGCCAAGGGCAATTCTGGGGCGTATGCCGAGTTTTTCAAGAGCTCGCTCAAGGGTATCATGTGGGGATGCGATGGCATGGAGAGCCATGAGTGGGGTCGTGTCATTGATGAAGAGTAGGATGTTTCCTCCTCTTCTTTCTCTTTTTTTTCTTCCTTGCAAGATATGGAGATGGAGATGAAAAGACGTTTGGCATCATGATGTGCATACAAGCGAGGCGTTCATGTTAAGTCTAGGGCGGAGGTTCAATTTGTGCAAGGCATCTTCCCCTTTTTTTTTTCTTATTCCATATTACAGCTCAAAAAGCGATGGAGCGATTCGATTACATACATGGTATGTTATAGGCACTTTTTCTGTAGAAGCGTCTGTAGAAGAAGAATTCATTTATGCAAAGATCTTACAGTACTCAGTCGTCATCCTCGAAACTTGGCATTGCTGGCACTTGCCGCGCGCTTCTCTCAGTCATGTCGTCTGTATCATTGATCCCCCGTCTCAGCAAGACGTGCTCTCCCATGGGCCCTTCGCAGAGTTCAACCAGCTCAACATCTTGTGCTCGGTGATATCCCGATATAGCCACTTGGTCTGTACCACGACTTGTGTCCTTGGATGGCCTTACACTCTGCTCACTGGGCGCCGTTGTGCGTTCCCATGGGTAGTCAACGCTCTCGCCGTTTGGGAAGACTGTATTGCGTGGATGATTGACGCTGAAGAAGGACAGTCGGCGAACAATTAGGTGACGCAGGGCAGGCTATAGTTGCGAAACTTTAGCACAGTGAATTTCAGAGTGTGAAATGATCTCTTGTTACTAACCATGCAGACACAGAATACACTGGTGTTGGCTTCCAGGACACTCCAGTAGTTGGCGGGCGTATTATCCCAGGTGGGGTTCAGCGACTTGGCATAGTTGATTACGGATCCTATTCGTAGACACGAAACGGCGAGGATGCTGCGATAAGACACGGATTGTTAGCGTTCACAGTTTAAGAAGAGTCGTCAGGACGAATCTGCTCACAATGTGTCAACAGTGAACATGCCAAGCACCTCTACTTTCCTCCTCAAAGTCATCGATTGTTGATACAGAGCAGGAACTGGTATAAGTGCGATAAGGAGATTCAAGAAGACTGCGGCTCCAGCAGCTGACAGTATCAGATAATTTGTATCCCAGCACGAGCCCTTGTGCTCGCCATCCCAGCCCGTCCACACCAGAGAAACGGGTTTGCAAAAGAAGGCAATGCTGAATTGGAAGATGAACCAGTATATAGTTGTGAGGGCCATGCCGGTATAAGTGTAGGTCCTGGTCTTCTTTCTGGGAAGTACGCGGAGGTACATGAATAACAATGCCAGTCTCGCAAGGGCAGTTGTGGGCCAGTAGAAGAATTTCCCCAGCCATTCCAGCTGTTTGTGTTAGTAAGAGGGTTCGGGAGACTATGTCGTGTGTGGCTAGCTCACTTTGCGTATGTAAGTGATGTCTTCGAAAGACAACGTCCACGCATCCCGGCCTAGACCTGCAGATGCGACGCGTAGCTGTATAGCGTTCATTGGGATCAAGGTCAATCCAGCACCAGGAGAACAGGCGTCATCCCAATGGAAGGAGCGATTAAGGACTGCATCCAGGGTACGCAACATAACTGAGATTGTAGCAATACTTCCGCTCACGCTTGCAACGGCCAATGGTTGGTTTGAGCGATTGCGAACGGGCCTTTGACACATGATGGCTGTGATGTTGAGCGCAGTAAGGACTTGTTTGATGGTACATGTTCTATCAGCACACATATGAATGTTATGAGCGACATGTTGATTGGCACAGAAGCATGTGGCATTGTTAGGAGAGCACACCGAAAGCGTCTCAAGGGTGGATGCTAAGCAATCTATCTAGTTAGGTCAGGACACTGCGTCTACAAAGGTAAGTAATGAGCGGCGGGTTTCGACTAACCGCACACTGTGGCAGTAGATGATGCAAGTCACTGGAAACATTGTTCAGGTCGTGGGGACGGAGAAAGTAGTCCAAGTAGGTGGATCCCAGCATGGCTGCATGTTGCCAGATGACGGGCGCGTCTTGAATTTAAATGCAGATGCAAGAGGATTCAGGTTTAGCGGCACAGGAGGCATGGGGAAAGGCAGATTGGCCATGTATGGGGCCATGGAAAATGCGGGGAGCTGAACCGGAATGTCGTGTGGCGAGAGGCGTTATGCAAGGAGAGCCCTTGCCAAAAGCGTGATGCTCGCAGTGCGCCTGGACATGTGGATGGATATGTGTACACATGTACTTGCTGCTGTACTATGGACGTCTTTTGAATGAAAGGACTCAAGTTGGTTGGATTAGGCATGTGACCCGAGTGTGAGTAATAGGGCTGTTTTGGTGTTGAAAGCATTTTCCAATGGCTTGGCGGGGCAGCAAATAATGAATCTGCAGACGACAGCACGTGGATGCACGCCACCAGCTGCCCGATTGAGTACTGTCAACTGCGTGAGAAGAGAGACCTCAGTAAAGGGCGAGACGAGGGTGGGATGGTGGTGAATGAGGGAATGCACACTTAGTAGGAGCGAGCAAAGAGCAGGGGAGGAGCAGATCGCAGATGCAAGAGTGGAGTTGCTAGCGCTGGTGTGGTGTGTGCTCTTGTCTCTCGGCACGAGTAGTTCCAGGTTCAGGTTGACAAACGCGACTTCACCGCGCAACCCGTGCCTCTTCTACTTCTGCGACGTCAGCGCCCAAAGTCTCTTGTTTGTACGAGCAGCTCGATAGCCTCTTGCTCCGCCAACCCGCCCGTCCGCCAGCACAAACTTGCCCTCCCCGCCCCGCCAGCCTGCCCGCACAATCTCCCTTTGGCCCAAGTGCCCCACCTTCGTCCATAGACACAACTTCTGCAATCCTACCACCCTCTGCGCGCTCGCCTGCTGCCTACGCCCGACGCGCACTCCCTCCTCGCCACGACTGAAGCAGAGCCGCTGGTCAAGCTTGTTGGCACTACAGACGACACCTCCAGGCTGATTGGGAGCTTTTCCCGCCGCGCTGCAGCCCGCTATGTCTCTGTCAATTGAAGAGCTCGACGCCACAGTGCGCGCCTTCTACGAGGGCCGCGGTGATACAGTATGTCCTCTCGTCCCCTTGGGCTGCCCAGTATGCCCTGGAGCATAGCTAACACACTCTTCCTCGCAGCAAAAACAAGCTCAAGCTACGCTGAACCAGGTAAGCATCCTCATTTCCGCCGACGCTGTATGAGCTTGCCCAGCTGACTCCTGCATAGTTCAAGGAAAACCCTGATGCATGGCTGCTGGTCGACAAGATCCTTTCCGATGCGCAGTATCCACAGACCAAGTGTGAGTGAAGACAAAGGTTGCGATGCAAGATCAGTGAGCCACGGCGCTAACAAAGAGGGCAGATCTGGGTCTCCAAGTCCTCGACAATGTCATCATGACCAGATGGAAGGTGCTGCCCCGCGACCAATGTCAAGGTATGGTTGAGAAAAACTTCTTCTGGCAACTAGGCTGACAACACCAGGCATCCGCAACTTTATTGTCAACTTCATTATTCAGCTCTCCAACAATGACGACACCCGCCGCGCCGAGCGCACCCTCCTCAACAAGCTCAACCTCGTCCTCGTTTCGGTTTTGAAGCAGGAATGGCCCCACAACTGGCCCACCTTTATCAACGAAATCATATCGTCATGCCATAGCAGCCTGGGAATATGCGAGAACAACATGGTCATTCTGCGCCTGCTCTCGGAGGAGGTCTTTGACTACTCGGAGGAGCAGATGACCTCGGCCAAGAGACGAGAGCTCAAGCAGAGCATGTGCGACGAGTTCACCGCCATCTATCAGCTCTGCTCAGAGGTCCTGCGCACAGCCACCGAGGCCTCGCTTATCAAGGCCACTTTGGAAACGCTGCTGCGCTTCCTCAACTGGATTCCTCTGGGATACATCTTTGAGACGCCACCCAGCGGCCAAAGTCTGATTGAGACGCTACGAAGTCGATTCCTCGAAGTGCCAGACTTCCGCAACATTACGCTGAAATGCCTCACCGAGATCGCTGGTCTCCACACAGAGCCGGCCTACGATGATAAGCTCGTTTCCATGTTCACCGAGACATTGACGGCTATTTCCAAGATTATCCCACTTTCGCTTGACTTGAAGAGCACATACTCTTCTAGCAACAGCAGAGACCAGGAGTTCGTGCTGAATCTCGCTCTGTTCCTCACTAACTTTTTCACAATGCACCTGAGTGTCATTGAGAATCTAATGAACAGGGACTTCCTCACCCATGGACACTTTTACCTCATCCGTATTAGTCAGATTGACGATCGTGAGGTCTTCAAGATCTGCCTGGAATACTGGACCAAGCTTGTCTCCGAGCTATATGATGAGATGCAAGCACTCCCAATCACCGACATGAACCCCCTCCTGAACATGGGCATCCCTGGAAATGGAGCCCGTGAATTGGCAAACTACCCCCTGAGAAAGAACAAGTACACCGAGATTCTTTCCAACCTCCGAACAGTCATGATTGAAAAGATGGTCAGGCCCGAGGAGGTTCTTATCGTCGAGAATGACGAGGGCGAGATTGTCCGTGAATTCGTCAAGGAGAGCGACACGATTCAGTTGTACAAGTCTACGAGAGAATGTCTCGTCTTCCTTACGCATTTGGACGTTAACGATACCGAGCAGATCATGTCAGAGAAGTTGGCTCGTCAAGTTGACGGTTCGGAATGGTCATGGGCCAACTGCAACACTCTCTGCTGGGCTATTGGTTCCATCTCCGGTGCCATGAACGAGGAAACTGAAAAGCGTTTCTTGGTCACTGTTATCAAGGATCTCTTGGGGTTGACTGAAATGAAGCGAGGAAAGGACAACAAGGCTGTCGTCGCCAGTAACATCATGTACATTGTCGGCCAATACCCCCGATTCCTCAAGGCTCACTGGAAATTCCTCAAGACGGTAGTCAACAAGCTGTTCGAATTCATGCACGAGACCCACGAGGGTGTCCAGGACATGGCTTGCGATACCTTCATTAAGATTGCAAACAAGTGCCGTAGACATTTCGTCGCTCTTCAGCCTGGCGAGACAGAGCCATTCATCGACGAGATTGTTCGCAACCTGAGGAAGATTACTGCAGATCTTTCACCTCAACAGGTCCACACCTTCTACGAGGCGTGTGGTTACATGATCAGCGCACAAGGACAGAAGAGCATGCAAGAGCGCCTTATTGCCGACTTGATGGCTCTGCCAAACTCGGCTTGGGATAACATCATTGCTCAAGCTAACCAAAACCCTGCCTGCCTCCAGGATTCCGAAGTCATCAAGATTGTTGGAAATATCATGAAGACTAACGTCGCAGCATGCGGGTCTATCGGATCCTACTTCTACCCACAAATTGGCCGGATATACTTCGACATGCTGACAATGTACCGTGCAAGCTCACAGCTCATTGACGAAGCGGTTCAGCGGGAGGGCAATATTGCGACCAAGATGCCCAAGGTGCGCGGGCTCCGCACAATCAAGAAGGAAATTCTTAAGCTCATCAACACATACGTTGAGAAAGCCGACGATCTGGAGATGATTCACAACAACATTGTACCGAAGCTCTTGGAAGCCGTGTTGATCGACTACAAGAACAACGTTCCGGATGCTCGTGAAGCAGAAGTGCTGAACGTAATGACAACCATTATTAACAAACTACATGTACGTTGGAGACCCAACCTGAGCAAGCACATGGTCGGACTCGCTCAGCTACCGCCCAGCTCTATGCTAACAATCTCACAGGGCATGATGGAGGACCAAATCATCAACATCATGGATAGCGTTTTCGAGTGCACATTGGACATGATCAACAAGGACTTCTCAGAATACCCCGAGCACCGCGTCGAGTTCTTCAAGCTCCTGCGAACCATCAACCTCCGCTGTTTCCCAGCTCTGTTGCGTCTGGATGCACGATCCTTCAAGTTTGTCATCGACTCGTGCATGTGGGCCAGTAAACACGACAATCGCGAGGTTGAAAGCGCAGGCCTCTCCATGTGCTTTGAGCTTATTTCCAATATGGCCGAAACCGACCAGCAGACTTGCAACGCTTTCTTCCAAACGTTCTTCACCACCATCCTCCAAGATGTCTTCTTTGTTGTCACCGACAGCGACCACAAGGCTGGTTTCAAGTCACAGTCAATGTTGTTGGCCAAGTTGTTCTGGCTTGTTGACTCGGACAAGCTGCAAGGTCCAATCTACACATCACCGGATATGGCACCAGCAGGTACACCAAACCGAGAATTCTTGAGAAACTTTGTTGGAAACCTGCTGGCAACAGCCTTCCCCAATCTGCAGACGTATGTTGCCCTTGTTGTTTGTTGTAGCATCTACTAACATGTGCTAGCGCCCAAATCGCATCGTTCATTGACGGATTGTTTGCCACCAACTCTGACCTGAACCGGTTCAAGGTCATCCTCCGAGACTTTTTGATTTCTCTGAAGGAGTTCTCTGGGGACAATGCCGAGCTCTACGCCGAAGAGCGCGAACAAGCGGCTAAGACGGCCAAGGAGCAGGAGCGCGAGCGTGCCATGAAGGTCGGCGGTCTGCTGAAGCCCTCAGAGATGGACGACGACGAATTGTGACTTGACGTCGAGTTGGAAGCAAACGTGGCTACACGCACGCCCTACGACGCTCGAGGCGCTCCCGACGAGTCTGCAAGCAGTAAGCACTCGAATGGCCTGGATGGATGGGACATGTATGGATTGTGAGCGACTGTGGGGGTAAACTGTGGAGGACGCAAAAGGCTGTGGTAGTGATGGTGGGTTGGATGGAAAGCATGCAATTTGATGCACCGTCAGAGATTCGGGCAAGCAGGAATGGGTTCGTTGTGGTCTAATACCCTATAGACCTTTCATTTGTTCGTTTGATGCATGGACACATGGCTGGCCTGGAGGTAGCGTGGCTTGGATTACAGATTAAAAAAAAGGAGACGAAACGTTGCTGGTGGCGTCCAAGGCAACGTTGTCTCGAAAGCGAAGAAGAAACATGGTTAAGTGCCACAATGATTTCCCCGATGCCTGTCTGGCGGCTACTGCGTATGCGCGTTTGACCGTGCAGCCGGGCCGTCCCACTCTGCAGCTGTACATGTACACAAGCAGTGTAGTGCGCCTTTACCAGTCTGTGGTATGATGACGCATCGTATAGAGATTAGGGTTCTCTTTATTTTGTTTTTCCGCGGATCGGGCTGGAGGGGTCGTGGCGTATAGCGCTGTGCATGCCTCGGTGATGGGGGATGCGGTTGAGCTGCCTGTCTGAGCTAAAGAGTGGCAGGACTTGCCCTTACGTAACCCGACAAGGGCGCTACAATTCGGCAGAATGGCCAAATTTGGATCCCTGCCAGTCTAACATGCTCGACAGTGCGTGAGCAGTTGTTCAACCTCGTGGCGCCTACACGCCTTCTGATTCGCCAGTACACCACCTGTCGTGTGAACGACATGGGCTCTTTTGTCCTTCTGCCAGCGTATGCTCAACCTCGTCTCGTGGACCTCTAAGAACAAGCCACCGGCTCCTCGCTGAACGCCCGGCACCTTGCTCGGCACCTGCCAATACTTGCCCGACTAGAACCATCTCTGGACTGATTCGTTTCTCTGCAGGGTGTCAACAGCCGCATCCCGAATGACTTCACTTTGCCAACCTGCCTGACCACTACGCACGGCCACTGCCAGGGCTGTCATCACCGGCCCTCAGCTCAATTTGTCCTTGTTTTCAGGCCCCACCGCCGAATAGGCGTCTATTGCACGACCACACGCTTGTCTCGGCACAACCTGTATGGTCAGATCTGTACCGCGATCTGGACCAGCATCCATTGCCTGTGCATCATACGCGCATTGCCGTGAGGCTTCGAGAACACTGTTGCCGGTTTTTCACTCTCTGTTAGCACAATGTACGTCTTCCCCCTCATATGGACACCCTTCAACCCCGCCCTATGGTGGTCTTGAACAAGAAGGCCTCATCAACAAGTCTAGCATCCAAGGAAGACACCACTGACTCCGCACGTTTCACCAGGAAGTTCGGCAAGCACATACAGAAAAGACAGCTGGAAATTCCAGAATATGCCGCCAGCTTTGTCGACTACAAAGCACTCAAGAAGGTCCTTCTACTTTTTTTTGCCTTTTTTTAACAAAACCATAGTAGCTGATAGGGTTCTGTGCAGCTTATCAAGAAACTTAGCGCCACTCCAGTCATACCACCGCTGAGCGAAGGAAGCAATCATGATTTGCTCGACCCCCAGACCTCATTACAGGCAAACAAGGCCACTTTCTTCTTCAGAGTGGTAGGCACTGTCGGTTCTTGCAATCGCTAAGTCAAATTTTGACAATGGCAACAGGAACGGGAACTCGAAAAGGTCAATACCTTTTACTTGCAAAAAGAGGCAGAGGTACGTCGCACAGATTGTGTGTGTCGCCACCTGCTTACCATGCTCGCAGTTGCGTCTACGCTTGGCCACCCTTCTGGATAAGAAAAGAGTGATGCAACAGCATCCACAATCTGTCTCAAAGACATCTTCGCGTTACGTTGCTCTTGAAGAGGGACTAAAACAGTTTAGCATGGATCTCAACAAACTCGAGGTGATTGGCTCACGTGCATCTGGAAGGGGGGTTTGCCGAAACTGACCTGACTCTAGCAATTTGTCGAAGTGAACGAAACTGCCTTCTCCAAAATCCTCAAAAAGGTGTGCTGCACCTTGTTTCTCAATACTGCTGTCCTGACTTGGCTAACGCTTCTTAGTGGGACAAAACATCAAAGGTCTGTCGCCAAACTCCATAGATTCCCGGGCCCTGGTTGACGTCAGCAATAGTCGAGAGAAAAACAGCTTTACCTTGCGCGCGCCGTCGAAGTCCAACCATGCTTCAACCGAGAAGTCATCAGCACACTCTCCGATCAAGCTACTCAGGCGCTTTTTGATTTTTCTGGATGGGCTGAAGGTGAAGGGGTGCAAGCGCCTCATCCTGCAGCTGAAGCACGCCTCTCCGAACCCGCATTCGACGTCAAGATTGAGCTCGACAACCAATTTATTCAGGCTATCAATACCGGAAACCAAGGCAAGACTCAAGAATGTCTTGCTCGCCTATCCACACTTCCTGACGCGCGTGAGCACGTTTCAAGGGCATTCCTGAGCACCGTCGCAGAAGCACCAGAATCTACGCTGAAAATCCTTCTTGATTCAAATCTTGTGAATATTGCACAGGAAGACGAGATCAATGAGCGAAATTGTCTCCACAAGGCTTCGATCAGCGGACGCATTGAAGTGCTCAAATTTGGGCTTGCCAGCAATGTAGATGCTCACGCGACAGACGTGTACGGCAGGATACCACTGCACTATGCCTGCATGCATGGGCACGTTGAGTTGGTCGAAGAACTCATCAACACCGCACCAGATACGGTAAACTTTCGCGACCAAGACAGCTTTACACCCTTGATCCATGCGATTGTGCATTCAAAGCTTGCCTGTGTGGAGATTCTCCTGTCGCGAGGCGCCGACCTTACTCGTCTAGGACCCGGAGAACATGTGCCACTCAACCTCGCATGCCAATATGCGTCGCTAGAGATCCTGGAACTTCTTCTACAGAGGTCTGCCGAGATGCTCCCAGATGCAGAGGGACTGTTTCCACAGCACTTGGTGGCAAGATCAGGAAAGGCACCACAGGCACTTCTCATGCTACAGAAATATGGTGCGGATCTTAATCAAACAGACAAACTCTACCAGTGGACACCTCTGTTCCATGCGGCGAGTGAAGGACATGTAGAGTGTCTGCAGACACTGCTCCAATGCGGAGTTGACGTGGACATTGTGGATGAGAAAGGCTTGTCTGCTATGTACTACGCAACATGGGAAGGCCATATTGAGTGCATGACGCTGCTTGCTTCTGTAGGGCGTGGCATTGGACTAATGACACAGAAACAAGCCTCTCCGCAGATCCCATCACAAATGTCGAGCTCGATGCCTACAGCGATGGATATCGAGGGCGACCCTGATGGCATCCCTGAGTTTATCCTGCCCCCTCCCATCATCCCATTCCGGAGATATGGACACAACTTCCTAGACACCAAGACATTCGTTGTTATCAATTTCGAGAAGATTGGCAAAGATGCAATCCGCTTCTACGACGAGTCCAAATACCCAGCCGCAAGACTGACAATTTCGTCAAAAAGCTCCGACCTTATACCACGCAACATCCTGTTACCCATCCAAGATGAGTTCAAAGTCATCTCGTTCCAAATCGAAAACCTGGATACTTTCTCTATCGACTTTGATGTGTACCCCACGATAGGATCAAAGGTCATTGCACGCAGTGTCGCGTCCTCGAAGGTGTTTACGGAGCGTTCCAAAGGCACAGGACGATGGCATCTTGAGCTGTTTGACCCCAGACTTCGCGCGATTGGCAGGGTTACTTTTGACTTTCAAGTTGTGAAACCCTTCCATGGTATCCCACTGGAGATTACTCATTTTGCCACGTACTGGAAGGCTACGAGCCAGCTCGATTCGCAGCCTCATACTCTCATCACAGGTTCAAGCCTATCTGGCGAGTATGTCCGATTGTTTGTTCAGTTGACTGCCGACGGTATACCGGTACTGCATCCTCAGTGGAAAGTCAACCACCACGGCCTCGAAGTCCCGGTCAACATCCTCACACATGCACAATTTGCTGCTATTGGTGCTCATCAAACCGCCACGACTGCAGACCAGCTCGCCACGGAGCTCAGTAATGCTAGCGCAGAAGATATACCCAACATCTATCAGGTCATGGCTTCTTCATTCATCACCCTGAAGGAGGCCTTGACAGCACTTCCAGCTCACATCCATGTTGAGTTGCACGTCCTGTTCCCGTCTAAACTCGAAGAGGAACACCTCAAGCTTGGGCCAACACTTGACATGAACACTTTTGCAGACAAGATCTTGTCTGTAGTTTTCGAGCACGCACGCCAATTGAGAGAGCAGGGAGCGGGTGAGATTGACAGTACCCTGAGGAGTGTGCTTTTTAGCTCCTTCAATCAGGACATCTGTACAGTCATTAACTGGAAGCAACCCAACTGTAAGTGCTCAGTCAGGAAGTGTATATATGGCGGATGCTGACCTCGATATAGACCCAGTTCTCCTTTGCAACGAGCTCGGCGCAGACAGCTCTCGGTCGCCTTCAGGAAGTACGCACATTGTTTTGAGCAGTGGTCGCACGAGGATATCTGTGAAGGAGGCAGTGCAGATTGCAAGAGACAACAACTTCATGGGTCTGATATGCAGTTCTCGTCTGCTGGTGAGTATTTTGTCATGGATGACAGGTTCGACAGCTAACAGTATCTAGTCGCTTGCTCCTGCCCTGATCGAATCGATAAAGACAGCCGGACTCGTTCTCGTAACAGACGTTACGGATTCCCCCGTCGAAAACATCGGGCAGCCTGGAAGCCTACATGTCGCAAATCCACGCCGACAAGCCACACCCGAGGGAGTTGACGGATATCTGAAGGGAAACGGTGTACTCTGCTTTAACGAAACGATTGACATGTGAACAAGGATATGTGGTCAACGGCTTTGTGGGGGAAGGGGGGGGAGACAAGGGACTGCTGAGATTCACTCGACAGTGTGCTTGTGCTGAATTAGTGTCTGGGGCCTGTTTCACGACGAAACGTACGAAATAACGACCAACTGCTCACTTGGCAATGGCAGGTAAGAAAGACGGCAGAGGAGTGTTCTTGGCGTTTGAATGGCGGACTGATACTCGGGGTAAAGGCGGCTATACCCGTTTGGAGCCAAAGGCTGATGCTGCACTGCTTTTTGGGAGGAGGGCTAGTTGTATAATGTTTGACTTGAGCGTTTTACTACATCGCCAAGCGGTCATGTGCTCAAGTATGCGGGGAAGAAGTGTATGGGGTTATATGTGTTGTATAGTTAGTACGCATGTGTGTATGCGTGATGTGATGTGATGTGGTGTGGTGCGAGGGTGCGGATGCGGGCTTGCAAGCTGCAGTTCGGTAAGGAAGTAGCTGCAAGCTGCAAGGCCGACCAGGGGTCTCTGCGTCTGCGGCGTTCTGATTCGGCGCTACGTCTCAATGGAAAAATGTCGACCGAACGACATTGTGGCTAGAAGCGGACGGGTTGCCGTGAGGCGGATCAGCTTTTTTTTTGATGTTTTTCTCAATTTGAACGCCACTCCACCTGCCATGCTGCCCACCGCGCCGGCCATGCGCACATGATGTCGACTTTTAGCGCTTTTTCGAGTCCGCTGCTCCGCAGGACGTGGACGTGCCGAGCCTGTATACAATCGCAACGACGGACGACGACGAGGATCCCACAACGGCAGAACCTATGGCGACAACAAGGCACACGTGCTGGACAGAATGGTTTTACGGGGGGGATTGGCACGCAGACGGCATTTGCAAGTGAAAGTACGACTGCAAATGCTGCTGCCAAAGCTGCGGGGAGGAGTGCAAAGAGCAGCAAGAGACGGAGACAAGTGGTTTTGGTAGGAGGCGGACTCATCATTGGCACAACAGCAGTCACATTCAACGAAGATGCCAGGCACGTCTACGTAGCTGCACAGAGGAGTTACCGGGTAGTTTCGACGCTGGTACTGAACATCAGAGAGTATGTTCCATGGAATGCGGTAACCTCTATGGGACAACCAAATCGGTAGCTAATGCCACTCCTTTCTGCACAGCTACCGCCATGTGCTCAAGCTCGACGACGAGCCGGATTACAATGAGCAACTCAAGGCGTGCCACCTTCGATGCGCCAAACGCACGCTTCGCACTCTCGAGAAGAACGGGTCGATATTTGTCAAACTGGGCCAACATCTTAGCAGCATGAACTACCTCCTCCCCAACGAATGGTGTGATACGTTTATCCCGCTACAAGACAAGTGTCCGGTCTCGTCGTTCGAATCGATACAGGAAATGTGCCGACAAGACACGGGTCTAGAGATATTTGACTTCTTCTCCGAGTTTGAGGAGCAGCCGATTGGCGCTGCGTCACTGGCTCAAGTACACCGGGCTACGGTGCGCGAGACAGGGCAAAAAGTCGCAGTCAAAGTGCAGCATCCTGCGTTGGACGAATGGGCCAGGCTCGATCTGGCGCTGACGAGTTTCTCTTTCGCCACGCTCAAGCGCTGGTTCCCCGAGTACGATCTTACATGGCTATCCGACGAAATGGAGCAATCTCTGCCCAAAGAGCTGGACTTCACCCTCGAGGGCAAGAACGCCATGCGGGCACGCGAGTACTTTTCCCACGTCCGCGAGGTACCGGTCATCATACCCGAGGTGCTCTGGGCAAAGCGGCGGCTGCTGGTCATGGAATACGTATCTGGATTCCGGACCGACGATCTCAAGAGCCTGGACGAGCATGGCATTGATAGGGACGAGGTCTCAGCGGCACTGGCACGTATATTCAACGAGATGATTTTCGGCAAGGACGCACCGCTGCATTGCGATCCCCACGGTGGGAACATTGCTATTCGGCACAATCCTGCGCGAGGCGGCAAGAACAATTTCGATGTTATCCTCTATGACCATGGATTGTATCGCGATATCCCCATGCCCATACGACGCAGCTATGCGAAGCTCTGGCTCGCTGTGCTGGATGCGGATGAGGCGGGCATGCGGAAGTATGCATATGAAGTTGCGGGTATCAAGGATGAGCACTTTCCGCTTTTTGCATCGGCCATCACGGGCAGGGACTACACAGTACTGGCTAAGAAAGAGAATGGAGGTGGGGGTGTCATGACATCGAGGACGAGTGAAGAGAAGAAAGTGATTGGAGATGCGTTGGGAGAAGGGCTGATTGAGAATCTGATTGAGCTGCTGGGTCAAGTACCGAGGGTCATTTTGCTGATTCTCAAGACGAACGATTTGAGTAAGTTTGTTTTGCATCTGCATCACGATACGCTTCGTTTTTTTTTTGAAGAGTTTGTCTGACGGTTGGCATTTAGCACGCTCGCTTGACGAGGGCCTGCACACGCGTCAGGGACCGGTGCGCACGTTTCTTATTCTTGCCCGGTACGCGTCTCGCACGGTGTATGAGGAGTGCTTGGACAATCTTGGGGGATCCATACTGTGGCCGACCAACTTTTTGTACTGGTTGGCGGCGTGGACGAGATACATGAGGGTGGAGATGCAATTGAGTGGGTATGAGACATATCTCAAGTTTCGGGCATTGCTGGGCATGAAGAAGATGGAGATTGGGGATAGTTTCCGGGAGTAGGGTACCACATATGTACACTATAAAAATAGAGGTGCATCAACAGCGAGGAGTCTGGCGAGCATTGGGGGCCTGGGTGTTAGTTCAAAGGGGGGGTTAACTGCTACTGAATGCATTGATGACTGTTTTGTTTGTTTGGTGCGTGTCAGTATGTCTAGTATTGTTGAGGTGGTGGCGGTCTATCAGCAAGTCCGAGTCCGAGGGTGGGACGATAAGGCGGAAGGCGCGGATAGTCAGAGGGGTGGTGTGGCGGTGGCGGGTGTGGAGTGGGTGTGGCGCATGAAATCGTGGCAGGCGAACCCAAGTGCAAAGAAGAGGACAGACGGGCTCTGGGGGTGCTTGGACGGCTTGTCTGCAATGCGTTTGAGGCAGCCGTCATCTGATCCCATGTCGACGAGGCGTGTGCTGGGGCCGAGTAACGCCCAGCACCGCGAAACAACAGCTGAGGCGTACCAAGACGTCGACGACGCAGACGGCAGGTTGGACACGGCTGGAGCAGCAAAGTGGTGACATGCAAGACATGGCCGCGCAGCCCTGCGGTCAATCTGGGGCCATGGATGCAGTTGACGGGTTGGTGGGTGCTGGGCCTGCCATGGCCTGGGTTTGACATCATCGACACCATGCATCTTGCGAGGGAGCAGAAACTTGACAGCCCACGCACAGATGATGATGATGCTGCTGCTGCTGGAGGCGGAGAGTCGTGCTGGCGGGCTGGCAGTGGTACTAAAGCAGACGGCGGCATGCCCGCCCGGTGCAGCATTGCTCTACTGTGTAAGCACAGCACCTCGCAGTGTCTTGTATCGTGAGCGTGGGTAGCATTAGCCCTCCCGTCACCACCAGTTCGCATCGGCCGGCGTGTCTGCGGGGCAAGCGCCAAGCCGACTCAAGGCATCTTCCGGCCATCGCAGCCCTCAGCAGCTGCTCTCGCCCCCCCTCCAGTGCTCCCAGTGCTCCCAGTGCTCCCAGTGCCCAACATCACCCCAGCCGCTACGAGCGAGGCCAGGCACCCTCGACTCTGGGCACAAACTGACTAGCGCCTGCTTCTGCTGTCCCTCACATAACCATAAATACACAATTACACAACCCTGAATAAGCCCTTACTCTCTCTCAGCGTCGCCGGATCTTCTCCGGGCACGACCCTCGACGCCAGTCGCATTTGCCTTTGCAGCGGTGCACGGCCGGTTCCTTACGCACAGCCTCCTCCAGCACCACCACCACCCTCGTCACCCTCTGCGAGCCAACCAGGGCAAAACATCACCACCACACCAAACGCCCACCCCTTCTCTCTCTTTTCACCTCCGCGAGCTCTGAGAGCCGCATCCCCCTTCGCAACTCCCGAGCCCCGTGTCCTGCTGCTCCTTGTGCCTTGATCCTGCGCTGCATCACTGCGCACCTCCAGCATCATGGACGGCGCAGGCCAGCCCAACCTGCGCATCACCAGTACGTCTCACCTCCCACCGGACCACAAGGCCACCCATAGGTTCTGCTGGAAGCTAACACCACGCAGTCATTGCCGCTGATGGACTCTACAAGCGCGATGTGTTCCGTACGTATGCCCTCATCTACTTGGCCTTGGTCGCGTCGCTGATGTATGCCCCACAGGTTTTCCCGACCCCTTCGCCGTAGCCACCATCAATGGCGAGCAGACGCGCACCACGAGCGTCATCAAGAAGACGTTGAACCCCTACTGGAACGAGAGCTTCGACATGTGCGTCACACGCCCCCCCCCTCCCTCCCGCCACAACCACACCCCCATACGCTTTCGGTCGACACTAACACACGGGTACAGGAGAGTGAATGAAGAAAGCGTCCTGGCGGTTCAAATATTTGACCAGAAGAAGTTTAAGAAGAAGGACCAGGGCTTCTTAGGTGTCATCAACGTCCGCATCGGGTCGGTAATAGATCTTGACGCTGGCGGCGACGGTAGGTGGGACCCTTCGGCACAGAGCGCACCTGCTAACTCGAGTCCAGAGATGCTCACGCGCGATCTCAAAAAGTCCAACGATAACATGGTCGTCCACGGCAAGCTCATTCTCAACCTCTCCACTAATCTATCTACACCCATCAGCCAAGGAACCCCCCAAAATGCTCCCCGCCCGAATGCATCCCCGCACCCGTCCGTCAACGGCGCCATCCCCGGCGCTGCCTCTACCCCCCAGCACTCGACTTCGAATCTCCATCCTCCCGATGTGTATCCAGGCAATCGAGCCTCGGCCGCCAGCCAAGCCGCTCCCCAGCGCCAGAGCCAAGCCCCTCCAGCGGGTGCACCGACTGGCCCACCAGCGGGGCCTGGGCCTGCACCCAACGGGGCAGCTCCAGCTCGCAACAGTGCCGGTGCCGCATATAGTGCTTTCGAAGATGCGCAAGGAAGACTACCAAATGGTTGGGAACGCCGTGAAGATCATTTGGGACGAACATATTACGTCGATCACAACACCAGGCAAACTACATGGATCAGACCGGGCGCGGGCTTCAACGAGGCAGACCAGCGCCGAGATGTAGCAGCACAGACGCAACAGGAGCGCATGCGACATCAGAACCGGATGTTGCCAGAGGACCGAACAGGTGCCAACTCGCCTACCCTGACCGAGCGCCAGCCATCACCGCCAAGCGGTTCGGCAGCGAATGCCGCGAGCATGATGGCAACGGGAGCAACCACTGCTGGTACAGGAGAGCTTCCGTCTGGTTGGGAGCAGCGCCATACCCCCGAAGGTCGACCGTACTTTGTTGATCACAACACACGAACAACAACATGGGTGGATCCTCGCCGACAACAATACATCCGCATGTACGGCGGCCAAGCTGCCAACGGCAGCACCATTCAGCAGCAGCCTGTTTCCCAGCTTGGCCCACTGCCTTCAGGATGGGAAATGCGTCTCACCAACACGGCAAGAGTGTACTTTGTGGACCACAACACAAAGACTACCACGTGGGACGACCCGAGGTTACCTTCTTCACTGGATCAGAACGTGCCTCAATACAAGCGCGATTTCCGTCGCAAGCTCATCTACTTCAGGTCGCAGCCAGCGCTCCGCATTGTTAGTGGACAATGTCACGTCAAGGTGCGCCGATCGCATATTTTCGAGGACTCCTACCACGAAATCATGCGACAAAGTGCTGCCGACCTCAAGAAGAGACTGATGATCAAGTTCGATGGTGAAGACGGTCTTGATTACGGAGGTCTCTCTCGAGAATTCTTCTTCTTGCTCTCCCACGAGATGTTTAATCCCTTCTATTGTTTGTTTGAATATTCTGCACATGACAACTACACTCTCCAGATCAACCCCCACTCCGGTATCAACCCTGAGCACTTGAACTACTTCAAGTTCATTGGTCGTGTCGTGGGTTTGGCCATCTTCCACCGTCGTTTCCTTGATGCCTTTTTCATCGGAGCGTTCTACAAGATGATCCTTAAAAAGAAGGTTTCGCTACAGGATATGGAGGGTGTCGATGCCGATTTCCATCGTAACTTGGAGTGGATGCTGTAAGTCTGCAATTTTATCTGTTAAATGATTCAAAACTAACAGACAATAGGAACAATGACATTACAGACGCCCTGGAACTGACATTCTCAACCGATGACGAGCGCTTCGGCGAGACCGTCAGCATTGAGCTGAAGCCCGGAGGTGAAAACATCGAGGTCACGAACGAGAACAAGCACGAATATGTCGAGTATGATATACCCTATTCAAACTTTGCGAGATAAGCATGCTGACCAAAATAGACTCATTACGGAATGGCGTATCCAAAAACGTGTCGAAGAGCAATTCCAGGCCTTCATCACTGGTTTCCACGAGCTGATTCCCGCCGATCTCGTCAATGTCTTCGACGAACGTGAACTTGAGTTGCTTATCGGTGGTATAGCAGACATTGACGTGGATGATTGGAAGAAGCATACCGATTACCGCGGTTACACCGAGAATGATGAAGTTATCCAGAACTTCTGGAAGTGCATTCGTAGCTGGGACGCTGAACAAAAGTCACGTCTATTGCAGTTCGCCACGGGTACATCGCGTATTCCCGTCAACGGATTCAAGGATTTGCAGGGTAGTGATGGCCCGAGAAGGTTTACAATCGAGAAAGCTGGCGAGCCAAACCAACTACCAAAGTCTCACACATGGTATGTCGCTTGGGCAAACGTTACAATATGACAGGAGCTAACCGATGAACAGTTTCAACCGCCTCGATCTACCACCGTACAAGACGTATGAGGCACTCAACCAGAAACTCACCATTGCTGTTGAAGAAACTGTCGGCTTTGGTCAGGAGTAAAACTACAAATTTCTCATTGGGATAATGTGCATGAACCGCCATGGCGGTCCTAGGTTCGGGGGAGACCTCTATTGGCTTCATGCCAATGTACAAAATACGCGAAGTCAAAAAGAGCTTCAACCAGTCTGGCGAACAAGAAAAAAACGGCGCTCTTTTGGATCGTATATGATGCTCTTCAGCTTTCCGCACTATATTTGACCTGGCTCGCTTTACTGCATTGTAGGAAGGAGGCTATGTCGTAGGCTTGCGAGGACATGCAAGTGCTCCATGGGCGTTTGGGGGGGGCTGCTTTGAGACGGGACGAGGAAAGGGTAGCGCTTTTTATTGTTTTTAACACTGAGCGCGTGGTCAATATGAAGAATAACGATTATTGTTGACGAAAAGTACTCTGTTGTACATTGCCGAACTCCTCTCTGTTGAAGTAGAAAAGCAGTCACTTTATACATGGACGTTGTATTTGTGTGTGTGTGTATGACAAACATGGAGTTGCGGGGGGGGCGCATTCGGTAACACCGTAACAGCGAAGGATTGTGTAAGCAAAATCAAGAAAAAGCTGGGCATGCGTATGCGTATGTTCGGACGGCATATGTGTGGAGCCGAAGAATGGACATGAGCTAAACCGTCTTGCTAAGCTCATGACTCCTTGCTTTGCCGCTTCGGCAAGTCGGGAAGGGGAGGGGGGGATAGTGGTGTGAGGGAGTGAGTTGAGGTGCACGTAAAAGTATATAGTCTGTTGCATCATCCATTCTTTGTTATTTCTCTTCCTCCACCATAACTTTCCCCCCTTGCCCCACCATCTTATTACCTAGTAGCGGTAATAGTAGTAGGGTTCCCTCCGCACTTCCAAAAAGAACGATCAACACTCGACCATCCATCCATCGCAATATCAACAACGCAAAAAGACTCAACCAAAAAGGGTTTAATCTCACCATCAACACATCTCACATATATATATATATACAGCAAAGAAACTCAATAAAGAAGAGAGAAAGAACAGAAGAAGAAAAATGGTCAACTTCAACCTCGCACACACATCGCGCATCAATCCTCCCGGCGCGGCACCCGTCCTCACGCAACCCCAACTCTGGGCAGGCCTCCAGCGCAAAATCCGGTTTGCACAGGAATTCGTGCCGGTGATTGAGAGTTGCACGGTGCTCGAGGAAAGCGCCGATGGAGTGGTGACGCGGCATGTTGTGTTTAAAAAGGGCATGGGACCCAAGGATACAGCGAGGGAGGTTGTGAGGGGATTTTGGCCAACTTGGGTAAGTTATATATATTTTTTTTCTTTTTTTTTTTCAAAGGATTATTTTCCTCCTTACCATTCGAAATTCACCTTATTTTGCGTTGATGGGTTGAGGGGTTGGGGTTCTTTTTTTTGTTGATTACTAAGAAGGGATAATTGATTTTTTTTTTAGGTTGATTTCGAACAAGAAGATGGATCGCATGTTCGCAATATTATTTCAGATGGTGCGTCTGGGGGTGTCGAGGATTTGCACATGACGTATGTGTTTGAGTTTCGGTTGCCTAATGTGCAGGAGGGGACGGAGGAGGCGGAGAAGGAGTTGGCGAGGCTTAAGGGGGTGAGTTTGCCCTTTTTCTTCTTCTTTGCTTTCTTTTTTTAACCTTTCTGGGTGGAGGGTTGGAAGGTTGTTGGGCTGAGGATTACCTAAGAGGAAGGGGGGGGGGCAGAGATGCGGAGAACCGGGTGACCTTTTGTGGGGAAGTGCAACAAAGCTAACGTTGTTGATGTAGATGGCGAAGAAGGCGGTGGATTCGAGTATTGATGCTATTAGGGAGATGGTGAAGGATGGTAGGATTAAGGAGTGAAAAAAAAAGACGAGATGCGATATGCATGACTTGATATGGGGGACGAGATACTTATATCAGTTGCTCTGCAGGACTGCTTTTGATCAGGCATAGAATAGATTTACTTTGTTAAAAAGAGTGATATCTGTTTCACGCAAGGCTCAAGAAAAAAATGCAATGCACAAAATCACAAGCAAGAAAGACACGGCAAAAGACAAAAAAAACAGTCATCCAACAGGCATAGCAAATGCTTATCCCAATTGAAATTGATCCTATCCACACTTCCAACCCATCACACCCATCACACTCACAACGTCACCCTCTCTCACTTCTTACAAAAGTCCGGCAGCACCAACGAGAGCAAGGAGAGCAGCACCGGCCTTGATGCTGTTCTTGTCGGCACCAGAAGCGCCAGAGAAAGCAGGGGCAGTTGGGGAAGTAGAGCTGCCAGCGCTGGTGCCAGAGCCAGTAGCAGTGGGCTCGCTGGTCTTGGTAGCCGAGGCGTGGGACTGTGTGGCAGCTACGCTAGCGACGGAAGCCATGGAGCTGGAAGCAGCGGCGCGCAGAGGCTCAGCGGCATTGCAGTACGAGGTGACGGTGTTCTCGACCGGGGGCCTGTCGAGCGAGTCGGGGCAGTTGTTGTAGCAGACGAGGACATCACGGTAGACGTCGCACAGGCAGATGAAGTCATTGCCCTTCTTGTTGCAGGCATCGATACGCGACTGGTAGCCGGAAACGCAAGTGTCGACGATGCTGAGGCAGGGTTAGTCTGAGTTTATGGCTTCTCTGGAAGCAATGACGCGTATGGACCGGATAAACGTACTTTTGAGCATCGCACTTGTCCTGGGCAGCGACAAGGCTGACGGACGCGGAGAGCGCAACGGCAACGGCGGTGGAGAAACGCATCTTGATGATATTCGACTCGAACGTAAGGTTACAGGGTCGGGAGAACGAGAAACAGCGACGCCTGTGTGATTAAAAGAGTATTATAAAGTTGTAAAAGCGAGAGTAACCCCGAGCGAATGATGGGGTATTAGGTTATTTTTTGGGTGAGACGACGACAACGACTGAACAGCAACGAAGGGGAGGGGGGATAAGCAGGCGGGAGGGCCGTCTGGGGGAGACATTTAAACAAATGCTCCTGCGCCCCCCCCCGGCACCGCGAGAGACACTCAGACCAGGCCTCTTTTGTCGAGAGCGCACAAACACGACATGTGCATGCACCTTGGCTTTAGCTCCTTTTTTTCCTCTTCCTTTTCTCGCCTTGTCCATTCACGCGCGCGCGCACACCCAATACGCGTGACGCCCACCCTTTTTCCCTCGCCGGAACTAGTGTGCTGCTAGAAACATCAGTGCATTCCCAGCCCTTTCCCTGCGCCATGTCAGGCGTGCTAACGCGGTAGAGATTGGCGGAGGCGCCATCGGAGCTTACCTGGCACTCTATCGGCCTAGGGCGTCGGCTGCAAGCCCCCAAAATTAGTGATTTTCAATGCACCAAGAGGGCCTTTCCCTTCCCGCATGGACGTTTCGCCTCCTATCCAATACTCGATTTATCACAAGGGCACCGTGTGCTAATGCAGCACTAGGAATATGTGGGGTGAACTGATGAACCAGGGATTCGAAAAAAACCGTTGTGTCGGTGGCTGTGTATACACATGGGCCCATGTGTGCGGAGAGAGTGTCAGCGTCCATGTCGTGCTGGACACCGCTGGAGCAAGGACGAGGCTGGCTATCATGCAAACACTCGAACAGCTACCAGCATCTAGCGGCTGACCCTCGCTTGATGAGACGGGCTGTAATTGGTGTTGGTATGATGAGCACAGGGTCTTTGGCTGGGGTGAGCCGTTGCTGCAACAGGGGTGGCGAACAGATGCAGACGCCAAGCAAAGGCTATAGTAGGCCAATGGCTCCCATGGCGACGGCCAACCTCGTCGCGTCTCGTCTATAGCATCACCAGACACAAACGAATCTCGGTTCCATTTCTCCACACAATCAACCCGCCGATCCGTTGCCCTCGGATCACCAACAGCCAGCACACCAGCCTTCTCCTCATTTCTAGCCTCATCCATGTCGGCTCTCGGCCTGGACCAACAAACTAAGTACTACTCTACACAACTGCTGACTACAATTTCCAGCCGATCGACAAGCACACGCTGTACAAAGGCCCGCTGCCGCTCTGGCACAAGTGGACCACCAGTCGAACCAGCGGCTGGTGCTGGTGCTGGTGCTGGTGCTAAACTGCCATGGAGATTGCAACAACGCCATGGTCATCCTGTGCCCCCATTTATCCTCGCCCCTCAGCCGAGGTCAGCAGTCATGTTAGGCTGTTGATATACTTGAGTCGTCTAATACTTTTTAAAATGACAAATATCAACAACAAACATGAGCGCAACCGCCTTCTGCACACATCACACCACTGCTTAGATCCCCGTGTGACTTTGTTCTTCTTCGATCAATCCATGGTACCTCTTTCGCCTAACCTGCACGACCCATATACTACCCTACTACATAACATACACTATTACAGACCACGAGGCAATGGCCAAAGAGTTGCCACCTGACACCTGCACCTTCACGTCAACAGCCTCGCTTCCCTCTTTCCATTGCTCACTAGTACTAACTGCACAGCGCTCTATAGTGTGTAGCAATCCCAACCCTACCGTCCGCACATGCGCCACAACTCACGCCAACACTACACATCACTCGTCAAACAAAACCTGGGCAAACACTTCTTCAATTGGGTCAAAATCCAACCTTGTTGAACCATCAAACGTGGCGGGGCATGATCTGTCATTGAGGTATCATTTCACCAGCTTTTCGCTCTACATATCCATAGTAGCTACTCAGCATATCCCGCCGGAACGCCATGCTTTTGATATGCACATCTTACATTCCTCTCCCTTAGCAATCCCATCTAAGCATCCTCAACAATCTGCGTGTGCAGACCCTTGGGGTCCTTGACGTTGACGGCCTGGACGTAAGAGTAGAGCTTCTCCTTGGCGCCCTCCTCGTCGTTACGCTTACGCGAGATGCGGACACGGAGGCGGAATGGGACGCCCTTGATACCAGACTCCCAGACCTTCTTGTTGAGCTGAGGGTCAAGGCGGACATCGTTGGTGCCCTAACGTAGCATTAGCATCCACAGCCATATCCCATAAAATGTCCTAGCAGAGGCCATGACAGCAGTCGCCAGACATTGCCCTCCTGCTAGATTCGGTGCCCACGTACCATAGCCTGCTTAGCAAAAGCACGGATCTCCTTGACAGCCCTGGGGGCCCTCTTCTTGAAGCTTACGCCATGGACCTATATCCCCAATCTATTAGCCTAATGTTCGCCTTCAGTCTTCCGCCCGATGCCTGCATGCGCGAGCATGGGCGCTCAGTTCAGTGTCATCGGCCTGACTGAGCGCCCACCCAAGCTTGTGCGAGACCATCTGTGGACTTCACTAAACTGAATCAACATACGCGCTTGTGGAGGTGGATCGTGTATTCGCGGGCGACAACGTCAGCGATCGCGCTGCGGCCGGTCTTTCCGGCAGACTTCTTGCCGGCGGACTTGGTAGTAGGAGCCATTTCTATACAGAGATCACGTTAGCATAAGTCCTCGGATAGCCTTTGACGGAGCTTAGATTCCGCAGCTACTACAGCGCGCTGTCGCAGCAATGCCGAAAATACACTGCCAGAAAAAAAACTTATGGGAATATCGTGGTACGTACGGACAGAGGGTCTCGCTGTGGGGTTAGTCGACGTTGAGGATGCGAGGTGAGGCGTAGAATTCGGAATTTCAGAACCACACGAAAATCGCTGTGGTCGCTTACTTAGCGCAAAACGCACAGATCACCTAAGCACGTGAGAAAGAACTTCATCAATGGTGAGCTATTGTTCTCTCATTGTGTATCATTACTTGGGTATTCGAGTCTAAATACAACGCAATCTCTTGCAATGCCAACCTTTGAATCAAACGCCACAAATACGCCCCGCTCACGCAATACAGCACACACTTTTATCATGCCTAGAACACCCGTATGCGCCTTAGATATGGCCTGGCAGATCAAACTCCTTTTTGCCATGGTTTTGCTTGTTCTTTGTCTCCTCATAATCGTCGTCATCTTCGTAGTCCTCTTCATCTTCGTCAAAACGCTCGCTGTCGTCGCTATCGCTCTCTTCCTCATCGTCGTCATCATCATCATCACCATTGACGAAGCGATTAAGCCGTCCACCGTCTTCGCCCCAAAACTGCAGTCCATCAGGGTCGTGGTCTTCAGCCAGGTCTAGATTTGGAATATCTTCAAATAGTGCCGGGTTCAGATCATTTCGGAAGCGGACCAGGGACTGAGTAAAGCGCTCCAAGACGTACTGAGGTAAAGATGGTTCTTTAACCTTGGTACCATCCGTAGCCGAGCGCTCAGTGCGTTCCTCATGTCCCAGGTCGATGATCGGTACGTCTTCGGCGCGGACATCTCCGGTGGGGTTGAGGTAAGTATCAAATGACCTGCGGACCCGCTCCAGCATCTGCTGCGCCGCATCAGGCATCTGAGGCATCTGCGGCATCTGTGGCATTTGCGGGAATTGGGGCATCTGTGGGAAATTTGGTAGAGACGGAAATTGAGGCATCTGAGGCATCTGCAACATCCGGGGCCTTCCAGGAAACTGCGGCATTTGGAATGGAAATGAGGGCAGCTGACCTGGAAGCCATGTCTCTTCTGGTTCATCCGGTTGAAAATAGTATCGAGGCGAACGAAGCGGGGCTTGGGACGACGGCGAGCTGACGCTTACAGGTGATCGCGATCCGGAATTTATGTCCGCATCGAGAATCGCGTTAGCGACCTCTTCACTTTCCGGCCCATTGAGGATACGGAGTTCGTTTGTGTTGTATGAGTCGCATGTTGAACATTGGTTTCCGAGCCAATGATATTTGACCGAAGACTTTGCCGAACAGTCATTACATTGAACAATTGCTCTGGTATTTGCAAACTGCTCTGGCATTGGCTGGCCTTCAATTGCCTGAGTCAACTTCTGCCA